ACACACAATTAAAGCCTGTTCACACACCAAACAGGGTTTTGGATTGGCTATGGTCTATTCCCCGTGATTCACTCACCCTGAAGCCGTCCGAGGTGTATATGACAACACAATCAGAGTGTCCCGGCTCTTCCAAGAAGTCCATCAAAGTGCATCTGTCTGATTTCAGACACACCTTATAGTGTTGTGTTTTTATCTTGAGTGGCTCAGGCTCGGACGAGACGAAGCGTAAGATGTACGGTTGTGTTCTGGTGGTGGGCGGCGGGCTGATGTTTCCCGGAGCGCAGGAGTTTCTGCAGCAGCGAATCCTCAACAAGATGCCGCCATCCTTCCGCTGTCTGGTGGAGAACGTGGAGGTCATCACACGGCCCAAGGTGTGTGTGTGAGACTGGCTAAAGTTCATGATTTGTTCACAAAATGAAATAATTGAATCAGCCCTCTAAACGATGACTTCATCACAGATAATTCACTTCATCTGGTCAAAAAGTGCTTCATGAACAGTAAGAGACAAAGAGGGTAAAGAGCCCGTCTGTTGCTGCAGGTCATGTGACCGTTCTTTACAGTGTGAGCAATAATGCCAGCTGTCCCTTTGCACCATCTGGTGGCGATATCACAAACTGCTATCTCCATTATTTTTGTAATTTTACATTTATGAAAAAAGAAAAAATTAGAGATGCGCCGATTCCGACTTTAATTACATTTTTTTCTAACCACTTTTACAGCACACACAAATATTATCTCTCTTTATTTTGCATAGAATATTTTTGAACAGTAATCGCTATGAAATAGGGCTACATAAATTACTCCTGGTGTGGGAAATTCACACAAATCTAAAGCGCCGTGTTATGGAAGAACCATTTCTTTCTTTTCACATCCAATATCCGACTAAAAAATTCGGTGCATTTTTGTGTGAAATCATATTTATTTATTTATAGGTCAGATAAGTATGATTTAAACCATGCTAATGCAGTTCCACTAATCCCAACATAATTTTCGAGTCAAAAGAATGTTGTGGAAATGCAGCACTAAGATCAATAGCGAGACAAAACCACGATCGGACGATAAGAGCAGTTTCTAAGGCATGCGATCGAGCTCTCCTTCCATGAAATGCGAAATATCTCTAGTTTAGTTTTCTTCTAGTTTCAAGATGTCATCGCTCTGCTTCAGGATTTCAACAGCATCAGCATTAATTTCATGTGATTATATTAGATCTAGAGTATGATTACAACATAGAGTAGTTTCTGACACGTGTTGTCTAACTCCAATAGAGTTCAGAATATAAGAATAAAGGCCAATCCCACTGCGTTTCTTTGTCTATGCGCATGTACAAGTGTTCGTAACGGATTTTAAATGTTAGCATGGGCGTCCCTCACACGAGCTGATCGTATTTTTGGGGTCTGTCGTTATTCGCCTTATGCAAACCCTACCCATAATCCCCTGCGCTGTGGCTCTCCTCAGGACACTGATGCGCGTGTGACGGCGTGGAAGGGTGGGTCGGTTCTGGCGTGTTTGGACACCACACAGGAGCTGTGGATCCATCAGCGCGAGTGGCAGCGCTTCGGTGTGCGGATGCTCCGGGAACGAGCCGCCTTCGTCTGGTGAACGCATCGCTCCTGCTGAGAACTATGGGGAAGCATATCAGTGCTTGAAAGGGCTAGGACAAAACAGGCCTGTCGAAAATAAATAAAACAATATTTCATATTCCAGTGGGAGTTTATCATAAAGTAAGTATGGTTTTCTTATTCCTAACATCAACGGTCGGAACCGTTACGTGCTTTTCACAAAAGCCATGTTTATTTAAAAGAAACTTAATTTAAAGATAAAGAAGCACTTTTTAATAAGTTGCTTTTTCAATTTTAATATTTCCCCTACAGTTCTGGAACTGCTTTTGTAGAGTCTCTCATTATGTAATATTTGCATAAAATGTCATGTCGAATGTACTTTTCATGATGTGCTAATTTTCTCAACGAAAACACAAACCAATAAAAGTGTGAACGGTGTAATAATGTTTACTTAGTTATTACTTAAATGACAACTAGTCGTGTAGTAAATCACTACATTATCGAATAAGTATAACAAGGCTTATCAAATAAGGCTCAGAGACTCAGACATGTTTAAGTGCTGGAAACCAAGACAGAAATACTGAGGAAGAGTATAACTCTAGTCCTTATTTCATTGATTCAGATAGGCCATCATGAGCCAAACCTGACCCTGATGAAACATCACCCTCAGTACATCTGATAAGATTCTGTCGAAATCTAAACAAATCCAGAATCCAAAGAACACGGATGGAGTTCAGCTGTGTCAGTGTTTGTTCAGGTTAGCAGCTGTGACCTTTGACCTTTGTGTCGCTGGTCTGTCCACTGTTATGTAACGTTCTCCTACAAATGAAGGCTCCTCCATGGAAGTTCTTCTCTATATCAGTGTCATTGTTTCTGAAGTCAATGTTGCATCGACATGCAGAGGCACTTGGGATTACTTCAGGAAGCCCCATCATCTCTGAGTGGCTACAGAACGAGCCAATGAACGTTGGCGTGTGTGAATCGTGTCGCGTGCTGCACGAGAATAAACACGGACACACGTACTTTAGTCTTTCAGTTCGGAGCTGAGCTTCATGTTTGTCTTCAGTATAGACTCGACATGCATCAGAGACTCTCTCTCTCTCTCTCTCTCTCTCTCTCTCTCTCTCTCTCATATCTGCTGTAGTGTTGGGAATGACTGCGCGAGCAAAGGAGTATCACATGACACTGCGTCCTTTTCAGGATGTCACGAACGCGCGTCACAGAACAGAGCAAGGCGAGCATTTGAGCTTATAAAACTTAAACTTTGTTATTTATTTATTAAATGAGCGATCGTTTCGCTTGATAAGACCCTTATTCATCGTCTGGAGTCGTTTAAAGCCCTTTGAACAGTTTGCACTGAAACTGTCTTTTGGACCTTGAACCGTTTGGTTCCCATTGAAGTCCATTATATGGAGAAAATCCTGGAATGTTTTCATCAAAAACCTTAATTTCTTTTCGACTGAAGAAAGAAAGACATGGACATCTTGGATGACACGGGGGCGAGGAAATTATCAGCAAAAGGTTTTTTTTTGAACTACTCCTATAAATGCATTGAGTAGTTCGCAGTACACCTTGTGCTGGGCCGCTTCAACTCGGCACTACTAGGCAAGCATGTTCTGGTCCGTATAGACAGCACTGTGGCCGTTGTGTACATCAGGGTGCTCTACGCTCCCGCTACATGTCACAACTCACCCGCCATCTTCTTCTTTGAACTCAGAAACATCTGTTTGCTCACACGGCTCCCTCGGCGCGGACACACTGGCACACAGCTGGCCCTGCGGCGTTCGCTCTTATGTGTTTCCCCAGTCAGACACTGTGAAGTCGAGGAGGACGAGGAGCACCGTATTGCCCCAACCGGACCCTAGTGCTCCTCATGACAGACAATCCCAATTACACCAGCATCGACTCAACGTCTCCCGTTCCCTCCTTCAGGGAAACGAGGGTTACATCTCTAATAGAGCCAGACCGATATATCGGCCGATATTAGGCATTTTCCATAATATCGGTATCGGCAGTTATAATGGCCGATAAATGAATATTTAAAAAATAAAAACGGACGAAACACGCTTCAATCATCTCTCCTCGGCCTGTTATATTGAAAATGTATGTTTTACAATTTGCAGTATGATGTTATCCATTGCTAAATTATGGCTCATCATAAACTAAAGCTAGCTAATGCCACTATCATCAGTGGAAGACCGCTAACGTTAACATTAATGAGCTTGGAAACCACAATGAACTTTTTCTGCCTAAATAAAGTAATGATTACTGTATTTATAACTCGCATATCTCTAGTTACAGTCCCTGCATTGTAAAATGTAAGTTAGACTTGCGAGGAGTGAACATTTAGACACAGAGAAAAAGTATCAAACGTATCTTGTGCAGAAAAGTTAGCTTTTCTTTTACACGTGTGTGAAATCCAACAATATTTAATAAAAAAATAAAAATATCGGCCGATATATCGGAATATCGGATTTTAAAACCCAAAAATATTTGTATCGGCCTTCAAAATCCTTTATCGGTCGGGCTCTAATCTGTAACCGAGATGTTTTTTGTGTGTTTTTTTGGAAGGAACACATCACAATATTCCTCATTGAAATAATTAATACGCAGAATAAAGGGGTGGGCTTGTTTTTATTTAGTTAGAAGTGTGTTGAAACTGGCAGATACTGACAGACTGTGAAGAGAGGAGCCGCAACAATGGGGAATATGGGGAGAATAATCAACATTCAAGCAGGACAATCTCTTCTAGGAGAGACCAATAACAACCTTGAGCACCATTGGGCTCCTCTCTTCCAGCATGAGCGTTTATATTTATTACCCCGAGTAGCGATGATCCGCTCTGCCGTCCCGTCACTGTGTTTGGTGAAGTGGTCCGAGTCTAAACTAATGCAAACAGGAGCACCGGACACTGCAAACCTGCCAGTACACCAATAATCTGATGCTCATCTGCAGAAGGATTTTTTGTGTCTGACTATTCCGGGTTTTTGTTTTCATTTCATCGTAATTAGAGCTATAACTGTGTTTTTCTTAAGTGAATTATTAGTTTAATTTACCAGCCGCATGAGACAAATCCAGTCAATTCTGAACTATAGATCTTGGTTTTAATTTGCAAGACATAAAAGACAATAAAAGACAACAGAAAGGCTTTTATTTCAGTTTATTACATCTTTTTTTAACATGTAAGATCAGTTTTAAGCATAAGAATAACATTTTACATATTAGACATCAAAAGGAAACAACATGAAATAATATGACAAAAGGCAGTGCAATTTACTACTAAAGCTCAATCAGCAGAAGTTATTTATATATATATATATATATATAGGGGTGGTGATGGCGCAGTGGATAAGACACATGCCTTTGGTGTGAGAGACCCGGGGTCAAATCCACTGTGAGACGCCAATGTGTCCCTGAGCAAGACACTTGACCCCTAGTTGCTCCAGAGGCGTGTGACCTCTGACATTTATAGCAATTGTAAGTCGCTAAATGAATAAATGATAAATATAAATAAATTCTCAAAAGATTCTCTCCTAAACATTAGCATTTATAAATCCTTCATGTTAACAAAATGAACAGAGGCAGGTCTCAGGGCAGGAGATGAGTGGTTTGGTGCCGGCTGAGGTCTTCGCCGCAGGTTAGGAGGTCCGTGTGGATCTCCATCTTCTCCAGGGCTTTCCTGACGGAGAAGCAGGAGCACATCTCTCCTCTCCACAGCTGCTGATGGAGCTTCTCTGAGTCTCGGGGCAGGAGGAATCTCCTGAATCCTCTCAGCTCGGGTCGCTCGCTCTGGTCCTCGGCCCGCAGGTGGACCACCCAGAACTTGTCCCGGCCGAGCGGGTCATGGGCAGCGCTGGACAGCAGGTTAAGGGTCAGGGCGAAGAGACTGCTGGCCGAAGCCGAAACCGTGTCATCGCTCCCGCCGGGAACTTGGTTTGATTTAAGGTCGTCTGCAAAGAGAAGCATTCAAAGAAGACGAGTGTGCTTTCAACATGAGTTCATCAATAATTCCCTAATATCGAGACAAACATAATATTATGTCTCCATAATATTGACAGGACCGTTATGTTCACCTGCTTCACATTGAGAATCATTGGTTACCCTTCATTTTAAGGTGTCTGATAGAGTCTCAGGACATGTATTTACTAGGGTTGCCCTCGACTCAAGCTTTTTCTTGTCGTTAGTAGTCGATCCTTTGAGACATTAGTTGACTAATCGCACGTTTACATTAATAAGCCATATATAAAAACGCTCAAAATCAAACATAAATGCAGACTCGTCATCTCTGCGGTGCTGGATGTGCATATGCATGTTTCATACGGATTACATTAACTGAGAATATTTATTTTCCATAGGAATCTGTTTATACAAATCTTGCTATAGACATATTTCTCGTGTCTGTGAGGCAAGTATACGCTGAGTTTCGGTTCATTTATGTGACGCGCTCAAGTTCAAGACCGATTTGACAGAAAGCACAATTTTTTTTTTACAAAAGTACAAAACTGTTTGTTGTTATTGTGAGTTTACAGACCTTTACAGTTTGCGTTAATCTTAGCTGTAAGCAAAAACGGCAGTATTTGAAGTTAAATGCGAGTGATGTCACCGACGCCTGTTTGTTACACAGTAAACACACATTAGCGTTAGAGCGAGTGGACTTGTAAAATGCTGCTACTGCACTTTATATATTTTAAGTAATAAGCCAGATTTGAGGTCGGTTAATGACGAGTTTAGTCATAAGCCTGTGTGATTCGCTACTTTTTCAAGGTTTTTTTTCTGCGACTAAACGACTGTTACAATTTAGCTTGACTACGCCTATTCCATTAGGGGACAGCCCTAGTACTTATGCTGCGTTCACGTGCTAAGGAAAGTAGGATATTTTCCACTTGTGAACTGGTATTTACCAGTGTGTTGCGTTCAAGTGCTTTTGTTGTTGTAATGTGGTAAAAAGATGGAGATCCAGACCTGTTATTTTGCTAAAACTATTTTAGATTGCTTAATTATTCTGCTACAGCAAGAAAATGATTGATCAAAACTCAAAAGGTAAATAATATGCTAATATATTTTCTAGATCATGAATAGTATATATTTTTTACCATTCACGACTCTTGCGGTGCTCTCCGCCATTTTGAAAAGTTCAAAGGTTATCTCATCTCGGCAACTCGTCCATCAAAATATTCTACGAGTTGCCCAGTAGAAAATACCACATGAGGGGTTGTTCATGTGCATTTTCCACGTCGGCTTTTGGTATTTACCATAATTACCACAGCACATGAACGCAGCATTACTATTGGGGGTAGTGGCTTGTACTTTAGCGTGATGTGAGCCACATGGGTAGGTGCTGACTGAGAGAGAGAGTTTGGTACCGGTCTGAGGCGGTGTGATGAGGAGGACTCGGTCCGCGAGCTCGGCCTGTGTGTTGATCCAGCGGAGCGGGCCTTGTTCCGCTAGGCTAGCTCGGTCCCACACGTCGATGACCACGGTTACGCCAGCGCGCCTCTGCAGGGATTGAGCCAGGAGCATCACAGCGCGCTGAAACACACCGTCCACGGCGGGATACACCAGCAACACTCGCGCGGACACGCCACGCTTCGAGGCACGCCGCCGCCGCAGCACCTGACCTGGAGGAGCACGAGTACACTGAGACACGGCCAACAGAACTCCAAACATCGCTGACCCGGACTGTAGAGTTGACCCCGGACTAACTGGAGCTCGGGTCTAAACCCACCGTCTGCTAGCTGTGTCACATCACTGAGGTAAGATAAATCCCATCACATAGAGACTGTGTCTGTTCCCAGAATCAGGACATGCAAAAAAACTCCCAAACCCATTTTACAGGAAGAATTTAATTGATATAATACAGATTTATTTATTTATTTATTTATTTCAAGCAAGATAGTCTGACAACAGGAAGGATAGACAATAATAATAACTTTTAACACTTATGCTTGAAATGGAGTGGGAAGAAGTAAAACTTATTAAACCCCACCCCAGTCTATTAAAGATTTTACACAACAACAACTAAAAAAAAAATAGCTGCTTCCTTCATCAATAATCTCAAAGAGAAAATGATTATTCATAATATTATTTTTATTATTATTATTAACAATAAAGATTGTGTTGGTGAATATTCGGTCCCTTTCTTCAAAAGACCTTGTGTCATTTATAATAATGTCATCCGTATTATGGGGAGGTCTAGTTTAAATTATAATTCTTTTGTTAAGTGTTGGATAGTTAACCAAAAATGAAATTAGCTCATGATTTACTCCCCCGTCACCCTGAAGTCATCCTAAGTGTAGTTGACATTCTTCTTTCAGACGAATACGACAAAAGAGCAACTCCTACGTCAGACATCAAGTGTTACTCTTCTAGCGCAAGTCGATGTGTACGGCCGTCTGCTGGAAGCTAGTTATTTTAGACGATAAAGTTTCAAATATAGGTATTTATCTTACACAAACGCATTGCTTCACTTCACAAGGCCTTTATTAACCCCTGGAGAACTTTAATCATGAATGGATGCGCTTTGATGGACCTCCAAACACATACAGCCATTCACTCCCATTATCAAGCTTGGGACAGCGAGGACATTTTTAATATAACTCTGATTATATTCGTCTGAAAGAAGAATGTCATATACACCTGTGATTGTACACCTACACTTCAGGGTGAGTAAATCATGGTCTAATTTTCATTTTCGAGTGAACTGTCCCTTTAATGTAACATCATCTAGTGGGTTTTACTGGATCTTAGTGCTGTGTTTGATAACATCTACCACAAAGTTATTTTGAATAGACTTGAAAATGATGTTGGCATTAGTGGAATTACATTAGCAAATCACACTTATCTGACCCTTATGAGTTTAGCAGTAAATGAAGAGATGTCTTATCGAAGTTCAGTATGGCGTACCACAAGGCTCAGTACTAGGACCATTGCTGTTCACATGTTACACACACACACACTACCCTGTTTAAAATGTTTTTCTTTTGTCTCATAATCTTGAATCAAATTGACTTCCCCTCTTCTCTTCTCTGGTTCACTTGCGTGAGGCAGGGGCCACCCTACGTTTGCTCTTGTTCCAGAGGCGTTTCACTCGGATAAATGTCACAATAGGGAAGAAAAGACGATTACAACTTCTGTTTCAGCCCAACTTAAGTTGCAACAGATTTCTAGCTCCCAACGTGCTTTGTGTCAGACTGAATGAGAATAAATGTTGAAATTAAGTGTTGTTTTATGTTTCTCCAGCTTTGAGTTTAACTTCCTTTTTTTTTTTTGCTAAGGTTTACAGTTGTTTATCCATACAATGGAAGTCAAAGGGAACCAAATCTTTTTGGCAACCAATGGCCTTCAAAATACCTTTGTGTTCCGCAAAAGAAAAGGCACGCAAAAAAGTCCTGGATATCCCCATACCTGTGTATAAAGGTGCGCGAGCATGTTTATTGTTCACTTACACGCGATGCAGCCGCAGAAGAGAAGCACGAAAAGAAGCGCCAGAACGCACCCGACAGCAATGGCCAACCCAGACTGATCTGGAACAGAAAAGTCCAAGAGTAACCACACAAAACTTCTAAACAGATAATGCAACGAGATGATGAATTATAGCATACTCACTCGTACAGATCACTTTATGCTGAACTTCTTTTACATCCTTGCAGTGTTCAGAGTGAGATGTTAACTTAAAAAAAAATAACAAAAAAGGCAAGTTAATTCGGGTTCCCTTTAGAAGTGGAACTCAGTCGGATGTCTGATTCAAAGCAAATTATCACATTTTTTAGTCATGCATGTTTTGGATTATTTTGTGCGTCTTCTACTGTATATATTAGATGTGATTTTATAGTCACCAATATTGTAAGGTCTTCACAGGGACCCGTGTATTCCACTTCCACTTGACATTTCTCTACTTCGCATCCCTGTAGAGCCAACGAACAAACATGAAAAATGACAGAACAATGTTTTACTTCACCTGCAGATTTTTTTTTACTTGTTTACACTTAAAATGAGTGAAAATAATCTGAATGTCTAAATATAAACATTTATTCTCTGAAATCAATTGTATGGCTTTTTATTTCAAATATTTTTTTGATATTTTATTTGCTTATTTTCCTGTGGGTGGGTTGGAGTGTTCTTTACATTCATTTTAGCACAAAATAAAATGTTAAAAAGAAACATACCCCTTTTATCTCAACAGTCTTTAGGGTTTCTTTTGTGTTCTTCAGTTGGATGGTGTGTCGGTCCGCCACAGAGCTCACACTGAAGCTCACCGTTATCTTATCATCATGAAGGACTGAAGAAATGTGAGCGTTCCATTGGATCTTAGCTGAGAAGTCTATCAAAGGTCAGTGAAAATGTATTAAAAGACTTGAAGTGTCTGACGTGTACATGAACGATTCCTCAAATCAAGTGTCTTGCAGATTTTCAAATGCTGGATAAAACAAGTGGAAAATCCCACCGATGTACATTAAAGAGACGAGGCATTTCTTGATATCAGAGCTGTGTTTGAAACCGCAGAGAAGATAATCTAGTCAAGAGCACTTATTCAGTCTTGCGGTTCATCAAGCTATATTTATAGTGTTGTCAGTGACACATATTGATTTGTTCTATTAAGAGGTTGGTTTTGTTCCATTAAAGATGACTTATACTCTTTATGCCCTCCATGGAAGACTCTGCAGCTCGGACCACAGTTCCCACAGAGGACCTGGCAATGGTCGAGGCCCCCTTCAAACCTCTGGAGTCGGCTGAGGCCAAGAACCTTTCCCTCAAGGTGGCTTTTTTATTAGCCTTTCCTTTATTTATTAGCCTAAAGGGTTCTGCAGCCTTTTCATCCTCATCTCACGCTCTAGAGTTTGATGTCCAGATTCAGAGGTGTTCTCGATGGCGGACGTCAGACCAGTTGCTGGTGTGTTTCGGGTCGCCCAGTTCCCGCATCCGAACAGACCATCATCACCTGGATCTCTATGGCCTATCAGGTGCAGCTTCACATTTGGCCACCAGGGCTCATTCAACCTGTGGCATGGCGTCATAAACTGAACACAATAGGGCCCAATACTGAGCCTTGAGGAACTCTAAAACTGTATAACAATAACACCGAAACATAAACCTTTGCTTCCTGTTTGATAAATATGAAATCATACTGTAACACACGTATGTCTCATACATTTAATGGCATCAATATAAAGATTAAAAACTTTGATTGGAGCACCCTGTTTCAAACACCTTCTTTCAGAAAACGCTCCTATTCTAAAAACCTATTTTAATTATCATTGATTTGGTTACACTCAATTGCACAAAGAGTCTGGTGTGAGTGTATCGTAAATATTTTTTATTGACTTAGAAATCAAGTGACAATGTTGAAAAATATATGATATGGCTTTAAATTGAATTAGTAGCATATCTGGTTTCAGGCAGAATTAACATAATGCAGTTCCTGACTGTGACTGAATATGGCTCATATAGGGGGACGTATCCTACGTCGAAGTAATTATAAACTCAACATATAATGATTTAATCCCAGAGTGAGCAATTCCAGTCGGTCCTTTCTCATGTAATGGACTTTATGACATTAATATAGGGATTTAGGATGATTTCAAACACAGCTCATAATATCACCAGAGACAGCAACATAGTGTCGGGCCAGATCCGGCCCTCATCCGGTGCACACTCCACACGGCCTGGACTTGGGCCGACACTATCTATGTTGCTGTCCTCATCTCATATTTCAGCTGAAGTAGATCTTAAAATGAAATGGGGAACACAATGAACAGTGACTCGTAGTTTAAAATTTTAATGTAAAATTATAATAAGATGGAGTGGAAGTACTCAAACATCACACCGCATAGAACAGAGAAGAGCAAAAGAAGAGCAAATGAAACTGACCTGCTTTGAAAGTCTCTATATATTTGTCGCCTGTTCCAGGGTTTGGTTCGGGAAGGTTATAGGCCAAGAGGTCATACTTCTTTGAAGGACAAACGGATCCATTTGGCACAGAGAAACTGAACCACAGCTGTCGATCAAGAAGAGAGTGAGATTAGGACACACAATCTCTCACTGTCTCTCTGATGGTGTAGTATTGGCTTCATGGGTGTTTACTGTAATAAAGCCCTAAACTAAAACTGAAATTATGCTCTCGTCTTCAGTCTGTTTTTCCAGACAAACAAATTATGTTTTTTCTGACCCCAATGGCAGATATATTTTCTTGTTTTAAGTGTAAACTCAACATTTCAGCGTTTCGTTTTCAGTAAAATATCTAAGTAAAGATATTTTCCGAAAACCGGTCTGGTGGGACCACCATTTGCCTCACGCAGGTGTACAGATCCTGGCAACATAGGGCCGTGTGTTATCATGCTGCAACATGAGGCGATGGTCGTGGCTGAATGGCACAACAATGGGCCTCAGGATCTCCTCACGGTTTCTCTGCGCATTCAAAATGCCATCAATAAAATGCACCTGTGTATATATATGAGGTCTTTCTGTGTGTGTGTGTGTGTGTGTGTGTAATGGTCATATTTTCACCTGTTGTAGGCCAGCGAGGCTGATCTGATCAGAGGAGAACTCAGGCTTGTATCCACATTTATAAATTGTATATCTTCTATAATCATCTGGCTCTGTCCATCTGATCAGTGTGCCAGTGAGACTGCGAATGGTGCCTGAGAACACAAGCGTCAAACTGTATAAACTCAGCCGACTGTACAACTCAGCCTATCTTTAGTAAACAAGTTATTCACTATTAAGATAATGTAATATCTGTAAAATACTTAAGTATTATAATACTTATTGATCTTCAAAAAATATTTGTGTGAGTGTGTATGAGGCATCAGCCTTAGCATCAGCAATCAGTAGCACATCATTGCAGTACATGAGATCCAGGGGGCGGAGTTCAGATCCAGATCCAAAGGGTGGAGATGGGTAGGATTAGGGGTGGGGTTAGGGATCAGGGGGTGGAGATGAGTAGGATTAGGGGTGGGGTTAGGGATCAGGGGGTGGAGATGAGTAGGATTAGGGGTGGGGTTAGGGATCAGGGGGTGGAGATGAGTAGGATTAGGGGTGGGGTTAGGGATCAGGGGGTGGAGATGAGTAGGATTAGGGGTGGGGTTAGGGATCAGGGGGTGGAGATGAGTAGGATTAGGGTGGGGTTAGGGATCAGGGGGTGGAGATGGGTAGGATTAGGGGTGGGGTTAGGGATCAGGGGGTGGAGATGAGTAGGATTAGGGTGGGGTTAGGGATCAGGGGGTGGAGATGAGTAGGATTAGGGGTGGGGTTAGGGATCAGGGGGTGGAGATGAGTAGGATTAGGGTGGGGTTAGGGATCAGGGGGTGGAGATGGGTAGGATTAGGGTGGGGTTAGGGATCAGGGGGTGGAGATGAGTAGGATTAGGGGTGGGGTTAGGGATCAGGGGGTGGAGATGGGTAGGATTAGGGGTGGGGTTAGGGATCAGGGGGTGGAGATGGGTAGGATTAGGGGTGGGGTTAGGGATCAGGGGGTGGAGATGGGTAGGATCAGGTATATGTAAGGTGGGAGGAGTTCGATCTTGATTTTTATTTTATTTATTTATTTAAAAGGGAGGGTTTCAGCAATGTAAATATGGCAGAATTAGCCCCAGGGCTACTTTCCATCTGCAGTCCCCCCGTCAGGTCATCACAAACAACACATAACAAAGCTCACATTAGAATTTAAATAAGATGCTACACAGTTTAAAGAACACCTTAGAAATCAGTAACATATTACAAAAGACACCACTGTTTTCCAGCTCCTCGCCTGGATTTCGTGTTCTGCGGTGAACACCATCTCAAATTATCAGCATCATCAACATAATAAAAGTGCTGTAATCAGCTGTAATTCTGTCAACTGTGGCGTTTATGTTTTCTGTGACTGTAAGACGAGTTTCTCATTATCTAACGTCTTCTCTGACTCACACACACATACATACAAACTTTTAAACACACAATATACAATATGCAACAATCACATCTGGTTTTAAATGTTAATTAAAATTGGTAATCTACTACATCAAATAAATCTTAATTTCCAGGTTTTGTTTAACGAACCACAGTGTGGTTAGTCTATTATAGATGGGTTTTGTTTTTGAAAAATGGTTCATATTTCTAACAATTATCATTTCTTGTGAATTCTAACAAAAAAAAAAACACACATATCCATCAACAAGAAAAGAGATTTACGACTGATTACAACAACCAGATGTAATGATGATAGTAATAGTGTAATATGTGCTGTGACTTACTGTCCACATTAATGGCCCATCTTATAGTAAAGGAGGATTGAGATTCACTCAGTTCTGCAGTCAGATTATGTAGAGGTGAAGGGTTCGATTCACGATATATATATTCTTCATAATAATCATCAGACTCTGAAAAAAATTATTCAAGGTCATCATCAGACAAAAGATAGGAAAGAAAGAAAGAAAGAAAGAAAGAAAGAAAGAAAGAAAGAAAGAAAGAAAGAAAGAAAGAAAGAAAGAAAGAAAGAAAGAAAGAAAGAAAGAAAGAAAGAAAGAAAGAAAGAAAGAAAGAAAGAAAAGAAAGAAAGACAGAAAGAAGAAAAGAAAGAAAGAAAGAAAGAAAAGAAAGAAAGACAGAAAGAATAAAGAAAGAAAGTTTGTTCTTTAACACTTACGTTTTTGACATGTTGCAACCTGAAATCAATGATTTAGTAAATTACTGATCAGAAGATTTTAAATGATTTCTGTAATAAGATTATGTCACTTACGATGCTGTGAGAAGCGCTGTCAGAAGTTTTCCACTGGATTAATAAAAGAAAGGCAGCGATTTCCCTCATGAGGTTCAGATCCATCTCAACAGACTTAAACAATGATTATCCAAAATTCGAATTGTTAAAAAGCCTTAATTCAACTATATAAATTCACATGGAAAGCTTAAAAAAATGCTTATTAAGCTTATTATAATGCTTCAAACCCACATGTTTCTGCAGCGAATGCCCTCCTCAGTGTGAAAACAAAGCTTCTGTTGAACTGCTTTATCTCTTCTCTGAAACACCCACACACACACACACACACACACAGATGGATCTCAGTTCCTGTGTGTCTGTCATCGGTCGCTCCTCGTCAGCAGTTTCCACAGGTACCTGCACTATTATCTCACAATTCTGAGGAAAAAAGTCAGAATTGCGAGTTTAAATCTTTTTAGATTTGGATATGGAGATATAAACGTGTTTCTGACCTCAGATTATAACAAAAGCACAAATGAACTGTGAGAGAGCCTTTTATTGAGGTTTCAAAGGGGGCTTCTGTTGTAAACAAATGTGAGTAGTTTGTGTAAAAGTTTGAGGACTCTATAGCTTAAAAATTCATGGAGTTACAGATGCTGAAGCAATAAGTGATGAGTGATCACTTTTTAGGGGGTTTCCACTGAGTGCAGTACCTAGCATCTGGTACTTATTTCAGTATATGACCCGGACACCGATCAAGCTCAGCCGTCTTGAAGGACATCTCAATTCTGGACTGAGGAGTTATACATACATGACTCGTTGGGGCCTATTACGTTAAAATTATCAATCAATAAAAGTAACCAGCTGCATAGACCTAAAATGTGTGGCTGTACAGTATTGAATGCTGATGTAAAATCCATAAAAAGCATTCTGACGTGAGCGTTTGCTTTATCTAAATGATGTTGGGCCTTATGCATTAATGTCAGAGAGGCATCAGTGGTGACCGATTGAAGCAAACTGTAATGGATCAACAGGTGCTGCCAGTTCCTTACTCCGGAAATACTCCACACACTCGCACTGAACAGTCTTCAGGTGCTCATTTTAAAATGTCCATTTTTTAGTTTTTTTCCCACTGTAAATTATACACATCCAAAAACTGTAAATTTAACGGTATTGTAAAATGACATTAAATGAAATTAGCTCTGCAGTAATTACCCTAACCTGGTCTTTCACCCCTAAAATCACAATGCTTTTTAGTAAACATTATTCATTCATACTCATTCATATTAAAAATGAAATCTTGCTGAACATGTGGTGTATAAGAAAAAGAAAAATATAGGTATGATTACTTTGATTATTCTTGTATGTTTTTCTGATTAAGCCTTTCAAACATATTAGTCTTGAAGTGATCCATTTATGCTTTTTGTCTGTTTATCATACTCATATTCATGTGTTCTGTTCAGTCCAGACATTTAGTGTACTTGCACTCTGACATATGTACGTCTGTCCGTGGGCTAGACATGATATGCTATCTGTGTTTTCCATTTTCTGCTCAGTGGCGTTTAGTTTCACAGAGATGGTTATCTTACCAGGTATGGTTATCTTACAGCGGTATATTTGCACACCGTCCAGATATGATGCAAATGCGTTTGGCCATTTCTGCATGTTAGGGCTGGTGCAAAACAGTGAAAAGGCGCAGGCGGTGGAATGGGGCAAACGAAGGTCCTTCAATGGTCAAACTCATTTTAACCCCTGTAGTGCCGTGTATTTAGAACGTCGTGTCGCGCAGATGCTGCAAAAGACATGAGACTTGTAGGCTACATTAAAAATAAAGCAGCGATGGAATGGAAAAAACGGATTTTCCGGTACAGGAAGAGAGCGAAAACGATTAATTGCGAAAAAGATTATTTTTTATTTTTGCTAATTATTATTTTATTTCGGTTATTTTTTCACTAACTGTTGTTGGTAGTTTCATTTAGTTTAAGTTTTCCATTTATGTTGAAATGTCCAATTTATTTCAGTTTATGAAGCTTTAGTCTTAGTTTCAGTATTGGTTTACCTTGGTACGGCAGGGGAGAACCGAGCCAAAGTCGAGTCGTGACATCATTTCAACCACACCTGGTTTAACCAATCAGATCAGCGATGGGCTATTTTATTTATTTAGACTTATTCAGCCATTGTATGCACCTTATGTTTATTTGATTTTTGTGATGTCAAATGCTGTTGAACACAAGTCCTGATCCTGCTGTAATTGGCCTATAATTTATTGCACTTTTAGCTCTTGAGTAATTTAGAAGACATTTGTCAGATTTTATGACATAGACTAAACACAAATTTAGTTCATATTTAGTTTTTTTTTTCATTATAATTATTTTTAAAATTGCTTTTCTGCAGTAAATTGGTGTCCACTTCACACTGCATGTGAAATGTGTTTCAGTTTTTAAACTTAATACTTGTCGTAATTCTACATTTTCGTAGACTGTAATTCTTGGACAACAGTGGGTAAAACAAAATAAACAATCATATATATACATATATATATATATATATATATATATATGTCCAGACCAGCTTGTTTATGTTCGAAGATACATGAGGAGAAGGACACGAAGGACAGCCGAGTGTGGGAGGGGCTACGCGCCACGCCATCACACTCAGACCACGCCCACAGCGCGAGCGGTGACACTTTGTGGGCGGGGCTTCAGTCACAGTCCTTCACTTCTCTGCAGGTCAGCTGTGTGTGTGTGTGGGGAGAGAGAGCACTGGCTGCACGGTAAGCTGTTTTGTTTTTGCCTAGTTACTTGTAACTTCGTGTTTGTAAGTGCTTGCCTCGCTTAGTGTCGCGGTATTATCAGCTCTGTGTTTTAAAGGGAAAGTTGCGCTATTGAAACTAATGTTCACACCCACGCGTGAATCTCTTGTGTTTTCGCTCTCGTTAAACTACTCAAACCATCGACAAAGCAGAACATTTATCATTAAAAACTGTTAGAGTGAGTTCCTGGACTTGTCTTGTGAATCATTGATGAGATTTCAACAAGTCAAACAAACAATCCTGCAGGAGTTTGCTGGAGTCTCGTCGAGTCCTGAAGGATCGAGTCTAACGAAGAGCCTGGGTTTGTTTGTTTGTTTGTTTGTTTGTTTGTTTGTAAGACTACGAGTAACGAGTTCCTATGAACATTACAACATCTAATGGGCATTTGAACTTGCAAACTTTAATTTGAAGAATTCTAACGTTAGTTTATCCAGTGCAATCTTGCTCTTAAATAATGTTTCGGGTGAAACCGAAGCTTGTTTGACTGGTAATAACTCAACACTATCAGGTCAGAACAGTCAGTACTCTCACATTAAACCATTCAGAATAAATCATTAACAGACTACACTATTCTTCGGTTCTAGCCTACTAAAAGTTTGCCTGCGTTAGCTTTGCCTAAATCAACTAATGGTCCTTATTATTAATCACTATAATATCGGATGATGCTGCGGTTTTGAATGTAGGAGAACATAAGCATACAGGAGCTGTGCAGTGCTGTTGAACATTGCATACGAAACCACTAATATGTGTTTCATAACTAATCAAAATCACACAATCATGCGGTGCAGAATATTAGCACTAAATGGATCTTAATGCAACTCTTCTGATATTCAGAACAACAGCACGACGGTGTGAGTGTTATATTATATTTTATACAACAGTTCAATTGAGGTAATATTATGTCATGTATTAATAATTGCTTATATTTGGAGAACTTCTGAATTCGTATGCACATGAATTTGTTCTGAACCTCGTTGGGATGTTAGTGAATGAGTTTTGTAAATTAGCGGACACGTGTACAATCTTAGTCATTTGCATAATACACACCCAAACATCTCCATATAAGGGCTTTCTGTTGAAATATAACTTCTTAACCTGATTATATAAGGCCGTGCAGAGTAAGTGCTTTTTGCGTACGTCTTGTTCCTGTATTTTTTCGTAAATTTAGAATTAATTTTTTTATGAAACTTTTGGTGAATCGTGATTTGTTTTTAAAATTTAAAATTACACACATGAGTGAATGAGATATTGCCAGTTAACCTGTTAATTTGTGTGTTTTTGTTTTGCCAATGAAATTCTCCGTTAAGCGCGTGTCAGAGAAACACAGAAGTGCTGCTTCATTCTGAATTGATTTGGTTGAGTGAATTACTGATTCACTTATAAAGATTCTGAATAAATCACTGCATTTAAATGAATGATTCAATCAGTACTCGCTCATAAACTTTTTGTTTCTGAACTGAATGGCTGGATGAATGACCCAGTTCCCGCCGCACTGACAGACAGCCACAGACACGCCGCGGTGTTTTGCCGAATATCTCTGTCGGAACTAGTTTTCACTGGTTGTATTTGGTGGCTGTCAGCGTTGGCCTATAAAGACAACGTCTGCCATAACAATGTAACCGGCAGAAAGAGTCACAGTGACAGTTCGGCAGAATAACTTGGATATTGATTTGTTAACTGACTAGAAGAAATCAGTAGTCATGCAAATCCTAATCCTCAAGGACTGGAGCTCACCTTGTCCTTAAAAACATCTCCTGTAGGGTCAGTTCAGATGTCTTGCAAATTGTATGTGTTTTGGTTGTATGTATTTGTTTATTTTTGTTATTCTCATGTACAGCACTTTGGTACCCATTTTGGTTTTTGAAAGTGCTCTAGAAATAAAGTTGATATACATGTTTTTTTTTTAGTAAATCCTTATCCTGTAATGCAGTGTTTCCCAACCCTGTTCCTGGCGGCACACCAACACTGCGTGTTTTCTTTGTCTCCCTAATCAAACACACCCGATTCAGCTCATCAGTTCATTAACCCACCTGATTATGAGCTGATGGGTTGAGTCAGGTGTGTTTGATAAGGGTTACAAAGAATACACGCAGTGTTGGTGTGCCGCCAGGAACAGGGTTGGGAAACACTGCTGTAATGAACCCAACAGCAACTGTTTCCTGTGGTTTGTGTTTAATGCAGTGTTCTCTGCCTTTGCTCCTCAAGCCTGCAGATGAGCGTCAGTGATCTCCGTCAGATGAGCGTCAGTGATCTCCGTCAGATGAGCGTCAGTGATCTCCGTCAGATGAGCGTCAGTGATCTCCGTCAGATGAGCGTCAGTGATCTGTCATCTCCGTCAGACGAGCGTCAGTGATCTGTCATCTCCGTCAGACGAGGGTCAGTGATCTGTCATCTCCGTCAGACGAGCGTCAGTGATCTGTCATCTCCGTCAGACGAGCGTCAGTGATCTGTCATCTCCGTCAGACGAGCGTCAGTGATCTGTCATCTCCGTCAGACGAGCGTCAGTGATCTGTCATCTCCGTCAGACGAGCGTCAGTGATCTGTCATCTCCGTCAGACGAGCGTCAGTGATCTGTCATCTCCGTCTGATGAGCGTCAGTGATCTGTCATCTCCGTCAGACGAGCGTCAGTGATCTGTGATCTCCGTCAGATGAGCGTCAGTGATCTGTCATCTCCGTCAGACGAGCGTCAGTGATCTGTCATCTCCGTCAGACGAGCGTCAGTGATCTGTGATCTCCGTCAGATGAGAATCAGTGATCTGTCATCTCCGTCAGACGAGCGTCAGTGATCTGTCATCTCCGTCAGATGAGCGTCAGTGATCTCCGTCAGCCAAGAGTCAGTGATCTGTGATCTCCATCAGCATGTGGTGTTTCTCGTCATCTACGAGGCTCTCGTCTCTTCGCAGGAGCATCAGTGTCCCACACACATGTACAGCGCTGAAACAGACCCTCGTCCGTCAGCACAGGTCCAGCAGTACGACCGTGGAGAAGAGCACCGAGTCCTACAGTTATGTGATCGTCGGAGCCGGGTCTGCCGGCTGTGTTCTGGCCAACCGTCTGTCGGAGAACCCGTCGGAGTCGGTGCTGCTCCTGGAAGCCGGACCCAAAGACAAGCACCTGGGAAGCACTCGCCTGTCCTGGAAGATCCACATGCCCGCCGCTCTGACCTATAACCTCTGCGACGACCGCTACAACTGGTTTTACCACACACTGCCTCAGGCACACATGGATGACAGGGTGATGTACTGGCCCCGGGGTCGGGTTTGGGGCGGCTCGTCCTCGCTCAATGCCATGGTGTACATCCGGGGCCACGCCGAGGACTATAACCGCTGGCAGCGCGAGGGCGCCGAGGGCTGGGACTACGACCACTGCCTGCCGTACTTCCGGAAGGCTCAGACTCACGAGCTCGGGCCGGACCGGTACCGGGGCGGAGACGGCCCACTGCATGTGACCCGAGGGAAGACGGATCACCCTCTACACCACACGTTCATCTCAGCGGGCCAGCAGGCCGGATACCCCTTCACCGAGGACATGAACGGCTTCCAGCAGGAGGGAGTGGGCTGGATGGACATGACCATACACAGAGGTAAACTCCAGGACCTGGGAATTAGTTCACCCAAAAAAGATAATTTACTCACTCTTACATCGTTCCAAACCTTCCAAAACACAAAGACCTTATAATTGTGTGTACATTTGACCATTCAGGTGCAATAAGCCACGATCGAGAACTGATTCCTTAATTGCATGCTGTGCGGATCGGGTCAGTCAGCGCACCGGCCAATCGTTGACTTCGTTTTTCATGCCTTATTGTGCTTAAAGGGATAGTTCACCCCAAAATGTAAACTCTGTCAGTAATTGCTCACCCTCATGTTGTTCAACCCCGTAAGACTTATGTTCATCTTCGGAACAAAAATTAAGTTATTTTTGATTAAATCTGAGAGCTGGATCGCTCCTCCATAGGCTTCTAAGGGATTGAAACCTCCCGGCCTAGAAAAGTTAAAAACCTTGTTAAAATAGTCAGTGACCTAGAGTGGCTTAATCTTAAGTTTATCAAGTGACGAGTATACTTTATGTGAACAAAAAACAAACAAAAATAACGACTTTATTCAACTATTCATTTCCTTCTCTGTGGGCTTCGAGATATAACAGCGCAGCGGTTCTGTGTTGGACGTCACACTATTGGCCGACGCTGGTCATGTGTGTGATGTGTGTGACGTACAACCTAGAAGCGCTGCGCTGTTTCCCCTGACTCATGACCTCAGGAATAACTCATGACCTCAGTAATAACTCATGACCTCAGGAATAACTCATGACCTGAGTAATAACTCATAACTCATGACCCGATGAATAACTCATAACTCATGACCTGAGGAATAACTTATGACCTGAGGAATAACTCATAACTCATGACCTGAGGAATAACTCATAACTCATTACCTGAGGAATAACTCATAACTCATGACCTGAGGAATAACTCATAACTCATGACCTGAGGAATAACTCATAACTCGAGGAATAACTCATAACTCATGACCTGAGGAATAACTCATAACTCATGACCTGAGGAATAACTCATGACCTGAGGAATAACTCATAACTCATTGCCTGAGGAATAACTCATGACCTGAGGAATAACTCATAACTCATTGCCTGAGGAATAACTTATGACCTGAGGAATAACTCATAACTCATGACCTGAGGAATAACTCATAACTCATTACCTGAGGAATAACTTATGACCTGAGGAATAACTCATAACTCATGACCTGAGGAATAACTCATAACTCATTACCTGAGGAATAACTCATAACTCATGACCTGAGGAATAACTCATAACTCATGACCTGAGGAATAACTCATAACTCGAGGAATAACTCATAACTCATGACCTGAGGAATAACTCATAACTCATGACCTGAGGAATAACTCATGACCTGAGGAATAACTCATAACTCATGACCTGAGGAATAACTCATGACCTGAGGAATAACTCATAACTCATTGCCTGAGGAATAACTCATAACTCATTACCTGAGGAATAACTCATAACTCATGACCTGAGGAATAACTCATAACTCATGACCTGAGGAATAACTCATAACTCGAGGAATAACTCATAACTCATGACCTGAGGAATAACTCATAACTCATGACCTGAGGAATAACTCATAACTCATGACCTGAGGAATAACTCATAACTCATGACCTGAGGAATAACTTATGACCTGAGTAATAACTCATAACTCATGACCCGATGAATAACTCATAACTCATGACCTGAGGAATAACTCATGACCTGAGTAATAACTCATAACTCATGACCCGATGAATAACTCATAACTCATGACCTGAGGAATAACTTATGACCTGAGGAATAACTCATAACTCATGACCTGAGGAATAACTCATAACTCATTACCTGAGGAATAACTCATAACTCATGACCTGAGGAATAACTCATAACTCATGACCTGAGGAATAACTCATAACTCGAGGAATAACTCATAACTCATGACCTGAGGAATAACTCATAACTCATGACCTGAGGAATAACTCATGACCTGAGGAATAACTCATAACTCATGACCTGAGGAATAACTCATGACCTGAGGAATAACTCATAACTCATTGCCTGAGGAATAACTCATAACTCATTACCTGAGGAATAACTCATAACTCATGACCTGAGGAATAACTCATAACTCATGACCTGAGGAATAACTCATAACTCGAGGAATAACTCATAACTCATGACCTGAGGAATAACTCATAACTCATGACCTGAGGAATAACTCATAACTCATGACCTGAGGAATAACTCATAACTCATGATCTCAGGAATAACTCATGACCCGAGGAAAAACTCATGACCTCAGGAATAACTCGTGACCATGATTGGCCAATCATTATTACTCATATTATTCTATATCTGACATGAATTGATCTCTAACTGCCGCAATAGTATAAAACTCTCTTGATATTTTAACAACAATTAAAAAAGAATAACAACAAAAAAACAAAAACATATTTAGTTACTTTTTGGAACTTGGAAGGGTTGAATATCACGTCATCATAATGCATCAACCTTGATCGCCTGAATTAATTATTGTTCCGCAGAAAAAATATGCAATATAAATAAATTGAGCAATATTAAGAAGGTCAATGTTTAAGTGTAAACTTGAATGAGGACTAGGGTAGTGAATGAGTTTAAGGGTTAACACTTGGCATGAGTATGAGCGCTAACTCTGTGCAAGTCTGATGAACCTCCTCTGTTGTCCTGGCACAGGTAAGCGATGGAGCACAGCTAGCGCTTATCTGCGGCCCGCGCTGGCCAGACCCAACCTGAGCACAGAGGTGCGCTGCATGGTGACGCGAGTCCTGTTCGACGGGACCCGCGCGCGAGGGGTCGAGTACCAGCAGAACGGACACACCAAACAGGTGAGAACCGTCAAGCGATCTTTTAACACTCCTCTTCCTGTCCGGCTTCAGTCTGTGCGTCGCTTAGTAGAGCTGGGGAAGAATATCGATTTCTTGATTATTTTTTTTAAAAGATTCTCATTTCACGAACCCGTATAGATCCCAATAATTGTTCTTATAGCAAGTTTTGTTCATTACTTTGTAGCGTTGCCTCCTATTCAATAAATCCTAGTTATCTTTGTGCTTTGTTGCATCTGAAAGGAAACAAACACTTACAAATTCTGCATCTGAATCAGTCAGTAAATGTGTTTGTGTATTCTGGTATTAAAAAGTGCCTTATGTGCAGTTTAATGTTTGTACAATTCCATTTTATCAGACATTAGTGCACTTTAGTCGCATATGCGAGTGATTTACACGTATTGTAGAAGGTTGATATGGATGCGTTTGGTTTTAAGTAGTAAAGTCTTGTGTTTGTAGTGTTGAGCTGTATCACTTCTTACTTTTTAAATCATCATGAAAGTGAAGTTGAGTTGGTCTTATCTCCTCTATAGACCATTTCACAAGATGTAAACAACACTGGTCCAGAAGCACTTCCTGTTTCAGTTTTTTAACACTGCATAAAAGCTGGGATAAAATACAACCAACAGAACATTTAAAACTGAATCAAAAAGTTAAACAAGCATTTTTAAGATGTTTTCTTTACATGTGAAATAAAGAAAACAGTTACAAACTGAAACAGGAAGTGCTTCTGGACCAGTGTTGTTTACATCTTGTGAAATGGTCTATTGTGTTGTCGATCGAGAGTGAAACTGGAACAAGAACAAAAGTGGGCGGGGCTTGATTGTGTCTGTGGGGAACTGATTGAATGGTTGTGGTTTGCTATTGGCTGATCTCATGTGAGTGACAGGTTGCCCCGCCCTCATCATCAGAGAAGAGATTCTGAGTTATTCTGATTCAAGATTATTAAAATAGTAATGATAATGTGCACCACCTGAAAAAAGAACTGTCCACTTTGATTTAATGGTGAATTTAATCTTGTTTAAATATTAAACAGGTGTTGTTGTTTTTTGCCATGACTTAACAGACTTGTTTTTGCTGTTTCTACTCTGTAGTGTCACAAATTTATTAAATGTTTAATTGAGATTCAACAGTATTTTAAACTGAGAAAGTGCACACAATGTTTTACCATTTTGAGGTATATGATGACATTAGCCTTTTTGTCACGTCCCAAAGTACAGCCGGCCTTTTGTCTTTAAGGTATTGTTAAGTTTGAGTGACCTAATCAGGCTGATTGTTTTAGCATCTCAAGGCCTGATGAAATCAGGTAACCAGCTGAAACATGTACTTTCATTTACATGTTTTGTTCAAGAAATGTATATAAACTACAATGTAAAATTCCCTTAGTTAGACTTGGCTTAGATTTTTGGACGAAGCAGACTACAGCAATGCAACAGCAATAAAGAGCCCTGCTTCTATGCTTATGTCTCCAAATAAGCAACTTTTTATTTTTAACCAAAACTTACTGTACATTAAACTTTTTAATTTTACAGCAGATTCAGTTCACAAATAAGTGATCTAATTATACATTTCTTTTACTATAATCAATGCTAATATTTAGCATTGATAACTAACTTTTCACCCCATTTAAGATCCGACAATATCCCAGTTGGTTTTGACCGAATCATTGAATCAGTGAGTCGCTGACCCCAGATCAGCTGCAATCCGATCAGTGTGATTCATCACTGACTCGTTCAGTTTAAGTTTAAATTAGATGTAGCAGTGCAATATTATGCTTTGTAATGTAGGCATGTAAAAGTAAAAGTTTCCCAAAAGAAAAAGATTCAGATAAAGTATAGATATTTGAAAACTGTCCACCACTGTTCACTTCCAGCACCTGTAGCATCAGACTCATCTCGTGACTGAGTGAACACTTCAGCCGGTTGGGTAATCTGTGATCGGATTAATCTGATCAACCTACATAAGTCACCCTTGCGGTTTTAGGTCTTTTTTTTTCAATTCGCTCTGGAAATGACAGACTGCTGATAAGCGATTGTGTTGACATCGGTTCCTCTTCCTGTGGCTTATCTTCAGTCGTCGCTCTTTCACTCTCGCTCATTAAAGTCAAGTGAGCGGTTTGTTGAGCTTCCTCTCACTCTCTTGAATCCAACACTGAAGTGAGTTAGACTGCAGTTCATCCACTGGCCACTAGAGGCCGTCTGCAGCAGAACCTGCATGTTAAAATGCCCAACTTTACAACAGAAAAAAACCAGCGTGGTGCTAAATGTGTTTTGGTCTATAAAGCTAATGTTGCCCTTCATGACGACTGTGAGGCTGTTCAGCTTTAAAGTTCTGTAGAATTAAGGGCGTGGCCACTTGAGTGACAGGTGGATTACCGCTGACGTCACTGCTAGCCACCTGTCTGTTAGCGCCACATCACCTCAGCTAATCCGCCTCGCTCCACATCTTCGTTTATCCGGGAGTGACGCGCTGCCAAGATGGCCACGGCCGGCTCCGCCCACTTTGGGCTTCAAAAACGGCCCTCAGAAACACGACGGGTGACTCACGGACACTAAACTCATGCGTTTTTACAGTCTATGGTTGAGGAATGAGGGTTTGTCATGTTTGCTTCAGGTGTTTGCTGATAAGGAGGTCATTCTCAGTGGCGGAGCCATAAACTCTCCACAGCTCCTCCTGCTGTCTGGAGTGGGAAACGCAGATGAGCTTCGCAAACATGATATTCCGGTGACGCAGCATCTCCCAGGTGACCTCATCTCCTCCTCTATGTCCTCTAATCTCCACCAATCACACTTTATGCTCCAAATGTGAGTCCATGCTGGCTTTGGGGGAGTTCCTGGCCGTGAGCTCCACTGATGTTGGGGTTGTAGATGAGCTTATGGCCTTGTGGTGTGTGTCCAGGTGTGGGCTGTAATCTTCAGGACCATCTGGAGCTGTACGTGCAGCATCGCTGTACTAAACCCATCACGCTCTACAGAGCCCAGAAGCCCCTCCGCATGCTGAAGATCGGCCTGGAGTGGCTGCTCAAATTCACAGGTAAATCTCAACATCCCATATTTGTGTCATGTCAAGTGTAGGGGAAAGCTACCGCATTACCGCAGTAAATATCGCATTACTCACTTTTTACACTTACTTTTTTTTAGAAAAGTAATGCATTGTGTTACTTTTGCGTTACTTTTTTTCCACCTGGTCTGGGATTGTTTGTTTTTTGTAACGAGAAAGTTATATTTTTGGGAAATGTAAAGACCATTTTGCACTAAAAATAAAATAATAAACCTCAGGATGAAGGAAATGCAACAGTAGAGCAGTGGTTCCCAACCTTTTTTTGTCTGAGACCCCCTTTTTCCCAAGAAAATATTTTAGCGCCCCCCCTTCACATTTAATGATATTATCGCTCTTGTAAGCTTGCAGCAAGGATAACAAAATATGTTTTTTTCAAACAAACGGTATGTTTATGCACAAATAATAGCCTATAATATTGAAAATACAATGACTAAAACATCAGTAGGCCCTTTGTAATTTAACAACGTAAGCCTAGGAGAAGCCTATTAATTGGCCCTATTTGAAATGCAAAAATAAAAATATTCATACTGGTGTTTAGGTAAAAAAAAAAAAGAATATCTCCTATTAAATGACTGTTATCTGGGGCCTCAATACTTGCATGTTATCTGTGAGGCTTTATCAATGTGAGGCTTTATTTTGCCGCTATAGCGAGCGATAATAAACTTGCATTTATTAACCCTCTGATGGTCTTCAAAAAAGGTAACAATTCCAGTCTTCGGGGTCTATTGGACCCCAGACAATAATATTTAATTTTGTAACAGAATAGTATTTTTTTTTTTTTTAACAAATATAATTTTACTCTGTTTATTAATGTTTTTACTCAACATTTGTGTAGTTTTTGGAGGATTTATGATTTTTTTATTTATTTCTATAAATAAATAAATATTTATTTAAATAGGATTTTTACCAAAAAACAGCATTTTATGTTAAATAAACTTTATAAAAGACCCAGATTTCTAACTTTCATTCCTGGGGATACCATGGATAATTTTACAAGGTTGAATGTAAGATTTTTTGCCTAATTTTTGAAAAAAAAAAGGGGGTAAAATTTGTAATAAGTCACTTTATCCACTAGATGGCTATAGAGCTCCACTAGGGCTATAAAGTATTTGAATTACTGAAAGATATAGTTTCTAAAGTTGGATTCAGTTGGATTCATATCTAAATATTGTAAAATCACACTTATAACAAAAATAAAATACTTTTTGTCAAAGTTTAGCCTTTGTTTTTGTACTGAAAAAACAACAGTTTTTCAATAATGTTACATTATGATTAGAATCAAACCTGAACATGTTACAAAGAGAAATGTTGGAGTCTTAAGATTTGATCATTTATTTCAACTGAACAGCAATAACAAATTAGCAAATAAAGCAGTAAAAATAAAATATAAAAAAAAAAAAAAAGTAAATTGGGTAGAAAATAGAATAACTAGGAACAATAGTTTGGAACAATAGAACAGATGGTCTCATCTCTTTTATTTTTTTTATAGCCTTACAAATGTATTCCTGTGTGTGTGTGTGTGCACATTTTCAATGTGTCTTAGTGTTACCAATTTATTTTTGCGGTGGTTCTGCATTTTAGAGTATTTTATTTTACAAATGATAAGCGAATAGTTTTTATAGTCTGTATGTATTCCTGTATATTGCATTCCTCTATATGTGTGTGTTTGTGTGTGTGTGCATGATCATTTTGGATTGTGGATGTTTTTTGCATTGTTGGAAGTGTGCCACTTAATTTCTGTCATTTCTGTCTGTGTTCTGCGTTATTTCTTTTTGTGTTATGAATTGAATGAATTGTGTCTATTTTGAGTCCAATGATAAAGAAATATTTATTTATTAATTTATAGATATTTAAAAGATATCATAAATCCTCCAAAAACTGCACAAATGTTGAGTAAAAACATTAATAAACAGTTAAATAAAATTTGTATACAAAAAAAAACTATTGTTCTGTTACAAAATTAAATGGTATTTTTTGGGGTCCAATGGACCCCGAAGACCACGAGTGTGACTATTTTTGTCACGCCTACATAAAAACAGATGGAATTCCATTTTAATTTTTTTTTTGTAGATCTTGACAGTGTTGAGAGCCGTAGCAAGTTTCATACCATTTGGAAAAAGAGAAAAAAAATTTTAATTCAAGCAAAATTCATTTGGGGTCTAACAGACCCCGAAGACCATCGTGTCTTTCAGAAAGAACGGTGTAGCCGGAACTACTTCTCTCGGTGTACGTCTATGACGAGTCACGCAGGTACTGTAGTACTCCGCAGCGATCCGAACCAGTGTAAAATAGTCCCAATGTAAACACTTATTATAGGTGTACCATAGTGGTTCAGGATAAGACAAAAACACGGATTGGAAAATGGATTCATGATGAACTCACTCATTATGTACATTTTGTAAATTTTGAACAGAAAAAAGTTAAGGACTTTTATGTAATGCTCATTGCTCAAACCTTCAAAATATGCCGCGACCCCCCACACAGAGCTCGCTGAGGCCCCCTTGTGGGAACCGATGCAGTAGAGGAACAGTGTAGTAGAGAAACTTGTGTTTCGCTGCAGGTTACGGAGCGACGGCTCATCTGGAGAGCGGCGGGTTCATCCGCAGTCGTCCTGGTGTTCCTCATCCCGACATCCAGTTCCATTTCCTCCCCTCTCAGGTCATCGATCACGGACGCGTCCCGTCCCAGACCGAGGCCTTCCAGGTCAGCTTCATACAGATCTGCCGTGTGTGTGTGTGTGTGTGATACTCACGCCTGAAGATGGGTGTGTACCCAACATTCACAATCTGGAGAACAGACTTGCATTATGAATCATATCAATAGCAGGATTATTAGTGAGTCACTCACTCAATGCTGGTGATTTCCAGTCAAGCCAGCTTTATTTCTACAGTCCAGATGCTTTACAGTGATAAACAGGAAAGTCAATGATGCAAACCTGATCAGCTGTGAAGACCGCTCTACAGAAGACTATAGTGCCGTTATCCAGCTCAAATTAGCAATATTACTGAAAATTAAGGCTCTTTTAAACCCTGACTAAACAAGCCAAATGTGGAGAGCAGAAAAAATCATATAAGTAACTTTTTAGTGTTCATTTTGTCAGCTACTTTTTAATTTAGTCTTAGTCTGGTTAACACTTTAGTTTAAGGTCCAAATCTCACTATGAACTTGTTTGTTGTCGTGCATATTACTAGCACATATTAATGCCTCGTTCACCACGATTATATTATACATCCCTTATTAATCCTAAATTTTACAACTTCTTTACTATTGATAAGCAGTTATTAGGAATTTTGTTGAGGCAAAAGTCGTAGTTAATAGTTAGTGAGAGTTGGACCATAATCTAAAGTGTGACCCTTAGTCTGGTTTAAAATGTACTTTTTAGTTTTTAGCATATTTAGTCAACCTTGTCCTGTTTTTGTTTAGTCAATAAAAACTTTATTGACTAGGCTGCCAGATTACAGGTATACACAAGTTAAACACCGTAGAAAACGTGATCTTTTAACAGAAAAGCTCTGATTGGGGAATTTAACTTTTTAACTATTTTTTGTCAGCGATATTGCGTGTTGATATAGTCACAGTTATGGTTTAATGACCTTATCGCCTCGTCTTAGGTCAACATTTTCCGTCCTAGATTTCGTTGAGGAAATGAACAGTAGTGTGTGAACCTGCAGCTGAGGAAGTGATGTCATCTCCTGACAGATCATTATAATCCTTCAGTCGTTGCCTGCAGAGGTGATCTGATGTGTGTGTGTGTGTGTGTGTGTGTGTGTAGGTTCATGTTGGACCCATGAGGAGCACGAGTGTCGGGTGGATCAAGCTGAAGAGTAAAGACCCGAAGGCTCACCCCATCATCCAGCCGAACTACCTCTCCACCGGTGCGTTACTCACGGACATCAACAGTGTCGGCCCACATCCGGAATCAAATTCACCTGAATCAACTCTACAGCAGAGTGGATTTTTTAACTTTATACATTTATACAGTTTGTTTTACACAATACCAACTGACTGGCTACTAATGTTATACTCAAACAGCGTGGCATTGGTTTACGCTCTTGATCAAATTGAAAATAACGTCATAAAGCACATGAAAAATACATTTACAACATTAGAACTTTGCAGATACTGTTCATGCACCAACAGCAACATTACACACTATTTAAAATGAAATAAGTGAAATCGCAGATAACCCCCCCCCCCCCTTTAAAACATTGTCGGCCATTTTTACTGGTAACATCAGACAGCTGGCATTATCAGGACACACACATATTCCCTCCATTGCTTTATTATACATTATATTCACCATTATAGTTTAATGTAACACTAAAACTACAGTAATTTCACACAGTAAGTTTTATTTTGGATGAACCATACACAAAACATATTGTTGCATTTTTGCATTGTGACACTCGTACAAATCACCAAATACTAATGAAGGTTGTCCGTCCCACAGATTCTGACGTGTGGGAGTTCAGAGAAAGCGTTAAGCTGACGAGGGAAATCTTCGCTCAGGAAGCCTTCGATGAGTTCCGGGGCCCTGAGGTTCTGCCGGGCCCCGCGGTCCAGTCCGACGCTGAGATCGACGCCTTCGTGCGGCGTAAAGCGGACAGCGCCTACCACCCGTCCTGCACCTGTAAGATGGGCGCCCCGGGGGACGGGGGGGCGGTGGTGGGGCCGGACCTGCGGGTGCACGGGCTCCAGGGCCTTCGGGTGGTGGACGCCTCCGTCATGCCCAGCATGCTCAGCGGGAACCTCAACGCCCCCACCATCATGATCGCGGAGAAGGCGGCAGACGCCATCAAAGGCCTTCCCTCGCTTCACGACCCGGGGGTTCCCGTTTACCGGCCCGCCAGTCTCCACATGCAGAGATGACATCATCAGTCCCATAACATCCACACGCAGAGATGACATCATCAGTCCCATAACATCCACGCGCAGAGATGACATCATCAGACCAATAACATCCACGCACAGAGATGACATCATCAGACCAATAACATCCACGCACAGAGATGACATCATCAGACCAATAACATCCACGCGCAGAGATGACATCATCAGACCAATAACATCCACGCGCAGAGATGACATCATCAGTCCCATAACATCCACGCGCAGAGATGACATCATCAGACCAATAACATCCACGCACAGAGATGACATCATCAGACCAATAACATCCACGCGCAGAGATGACATCATCAGACCAATAACATCCACGCGCAGAGATGACATCATCAGTCCCATAACATCCACGCGCAGAGATGACATCATCAGACCAATTACATCCACGCGCAGAGATGACATCATCAGTCCAATAACATCCACGCACAGAGATGACATCATCAGACCAATAACATCCACGCACAGAGATGACATCATCAGACCAATAACATCCACGCGCAGAGATGACATCATCAGTCCCATAACATCCACGCGCAGAGATGACATCATCAGACCAATTACATCCACGCGCAGAGATGACATCATCAGTCCCATAACATCCACGCGCAGAGATGACATCATCAGACCAATTACATCCACGCGCAGAGATGACATCATCAGTCCAATAACATCCACGCACAGAGATGACATCATCAGACCAATAACATCCACGCACAGAGATGACATCATCAGACCAATAACATCCACGCGCAGAGATGACATCATCAGTCCCATAACATCCACGCGCAGAGATGACATCATCAGACCAATTACATCCACGCGCAGAGATGACATCATCAGTCCAATAACATCCACACGCAGAGATGACATCATCAGTCCCATAACATCCACACGCAGAGATGACATCATCAGTCCCATAACATCCACGCGCAGAGATGACATCATCAGTCCAATAACATCCACGCGCAGAGATGACATCATCAGTCCAATAACATCCACACGCAGAGATGACATCATCAGTCCCATAACATCCACGCGCAGAGATGACATCATCAGACCAATTACATCCACGCGCAGAGATGACATCATCAGACCAATTACATCCACGCGCAGAGATGACATCATCAGTCCAATAACATCCACACGCAGAGATGACATCATCAGTCCCATAACATCCACACGCAGAGATGACATCATCAGTCCCATAACATCCACGCGCAGAGATGACATCATCAGTCCAATAACATCCACACGCAGAGATGACATCATCAGTCCCATAACATCCACGCGCAGAGATGACATCATCAGTCCCATAACATCCACGCGCAGAGATGACATCATCAGACCAATTACATCCACGCGCAGAGATGACATCATCAGTCCAATAACATCCACGCACAGAGATGACATCATCAGACCAATAACATCCACGCACAGAGATGACATCATCAGACCAATAACATCCACGCGCAGAGATGACATCATCAGTCCCATAACATCCACGCGCAGAGATGACATCATCAGACCAATTACATCCACGCGCAGAGATGACATCATCAGTCCAATAACATCCACACGCAGAGATGACATCATCAGTCCCATAACATCCACACGCAGAGATGACATCATCAGTCCCATAACATCCACGCGCAGAGATGACATCATCAGACCAATAACATCCACGCGCAGAGATGACATCATCAGTCCAATAACATCCACACGCAGAGATGACATCATCAGTCCCATAACATCCACGCGCAGAGATGACATCATCAGACCAATTACATCCACGCGCAGAGATGACATCATCAGACCAATAACATCCACGCGCAGAGATGACATCATCAGTCCCATAACATCCACGCGCAGAGATGACATCATCAGACCAATTACATCCACGCGCAGAGATGACATCATCAGACCAATAACATCCACGCACAGAGATGACATCATCAGACCCATAATGCTCTTATTTCAGGTTTTTAACTCTTTTGCACACTGAGTCTAAAATTTTCGCACGTTATAAATAAATACGAGCTCACGTTAATGCAGTCCTGTTTACACACTGCCTCCAAAACTTTCATCCATTATTCAAAAAATCGGATGGGGTTTGAATCGAATTTACTGCCACCGAACGACGAATACGGAAACATGCGTACGCTAAACATTTTGTGCAAGGACCCATCACTGCAAAAATATGCTTTTCTTACTCCGTACTTTTGCTGTGATTCCAGTCCAGATATTCGAAATGACATGAGAAATTCTATCTTGTTTTCCGCTAAACATTTGTTTTAATTAACTGAGTTTTGGCTTAAAACAAGCAAAATGATCTGCCAATGGGGTCAGAAAAATAATCTTGTTTTCCATTTGAATGAAGATTATTTTCTTGCCCCATTGGCAGATCATTTTGCTTGTGTTAAGCCAAAACTCAGTTAATTTAAAAACAAAACAAAAAAAAAACGTTTAATGTAAAACAAGAATATGAAAATTCTGTCATTTACTCGCCCTCAAGTTGTTTCAAACCGGTAAGAATTTCTATTTCTTTCTTCAACTGGTTACAGGCTATTATAAATTGTGTTCAGCAGAAGAAAGAAATTCTTACCGGTTTGAAACGAGTAAATGATGATGTTTCATTTCTAAGTGGGATAGTTGCTGAATGAGCTTCATATTGTTTTTCTCCTCAGAATAAGAATATGAAGCTTGTTTTAGGGTCATACAGATTTGTTAATGTTTTACTCTCAAAGTTTTATTATTGAATTCTCATTATTCTCAAAGTTGAGTCTTAATAGCTTCTTATTCATGTAAAACATTAAAGCACATAGGGCAACGGTTTACAATAATGTTTCATCTGATATCAATGAACAACACTAATGTTGTCAAATAACTAAAGCCTGGACACTAAATATTTGATGATATCATATTTTTGTAATATTTCAGTGCAGCTCACTACCTTTATGGTCCTGAAATGGGTTTAATGATCAGTAGCTGTTCATTCTTTTGATTTTGAGGTGAATTATGACCAAATGTGATCTTGATCTTAATGAAAATCATGCATTTCCTCATCATCATGACAGGATTATGACAAGTGAATTAAACACTAATGACAGGAATCGAGCTTCTGTGCACTTCTTTTCTTTTACTGTATCATGGGTTTGAAACACTTTTTAAAAATAAGATTCAAATAGAAAAATAATATAACACTGTTTAATACATTGAAAATGCATGTAAAATCACTACAATAAATGGTCTTTTAAATCAAAAATAATAAAATAATTAAATTATATGTCTCCTGAGTATTGATTTGAATGATTAACCCTTGTATGGAATAATCTGCACAACACCAAAGGGCTTCATCTTTATTTCAATAATGCCAGTAAAGGCAATCAAATACACTGCGATTAAAACTCTCTAATACTGTATCCATGAACCTGTTCTGTCATCGTTTACTCTCTAAACCCAAACTACTGTATATGAAGAGTTCAGATGCAAAAGCCTCTAAGTGCCATTTGAAATTTTCTTCTAAAATTATCATTTTTATCAAGCTTGTATATTTAAGTTCAGTAATTTCACTTAAATGGTAATGACGATTACCTATTAATTGCCATTTATTTGAAATTACTGAACTTAAATATACAAGCTTGATAAAAATTACCATTTTAGAAGAAATTTTCAAATGGCATTTAGAGGCTTTTGCATCTGAACTCTTCATATCTTTGTTGAGATTCGCTCAGATTCGAGATCGGCCTGTAATTGACTAATTCTGTAGGATCAAGTTGCTTTGTGGTTTAATCATAGGCAGCTTAAAAGTTTTCAGCATGTATCCTAAAGACAAAGATGAATTAATGAAGAGGATCTGTGACCTCTGGAAGCTTCTCTTTCAGTATTGATTTCTATGATTTAACGAGTTCAGTAAATTCTTCCTCTCCTATAGCAATGAATGGAGGTTTTCCTCAGGGAGACTACGACACACTCCCCGATGCCATACTGTAGCAGACGGTTGAGGAGTTATAATTTTCTCCCTAATATTATATGTCTTGCAAGAAAAGAAGTTCATAAAGTATTAGCTTCAGAAGTAGAAGCTTTATTTCTTGTTGATTTAGCCACTGTATCAAATAAATACCATGGGTTGTGCTTGTCTTCTTCTAAGAGAGACGAAGAATAAGCAGATCTAGCCGTTTTAAGGGCGTTTCTGAACGCATTAGTGCTCTCTCTCTCTCTCTCTCTCTCTCTCTCTCTCTCCCTCTCTCTCCCTCTCTCTCTCTCATGTGTGTGTGTGTGTGTGTCTACACGTCTTCTCCAGCAGATGGCGCTATCAGACCTATAGACCCTTATAATGCTGTTTAAATGGAAATAAAGCATTCACAAATCAAAACAAAAACACACCTCAGTGGGTCAGAAGTGGTCCAGATGTTAACCTAACTCTAACTCTGCTTTCCTAAAGAGAGATTTTTTAAAAACTTTCTCAGTTCATGAATCTGATGTCTCAGTTATGAAAGGTGATATTTTGTGTGTTTGTCCGAGAGTTTCACTGTAACCCCTGAGCGCGTGCACGAGTGTGTGTGTGTTATCTGAGCGGAAGCAGATCGTGGGCGCCGGAGGGAAGTGTGTGTGTGTGTGTGTGTGTGTGTGTGTGAGAGAGAGAGAGAGAGGGGCTTTTTTGACTTTTAAAACTCTTTTAATCAAACAGCTAGTTAAAAAACAGTATTTGCACCTCACAGACAAGACAAGACAAAAAAATAGAACAGAGAGAGAGAGACATTCTCTCTCTCTCTCTCTCTCTCTCTGTGAGTCTCTCTCTCTCTCTCTCTGTGAGTCTCTCTCTCTCTCTCTCTCTCTCTCTCTCTCTCTCTCTCTCTCTCTCTCTCTCTCTCTCTCTCCTCCTCCTCCTCTACAACACAACTCTGTTTCTCAGTCTAAAAATAAAGCTAATACACTATACTAGATACTAAACACACACACACACACACACTAAGACATGTAGAGCTGATGTCATCACTGAGTTTAACTAATTCAGGTCATTATGGTCCTTCAAAATCTCAATGAACTTTAAAAAGCTGATTTTTTTTTAAAAAAATTGCCTAAAATCAATCATATTCTAAAAAAGTCATAGAAAGAAAAATATCATTTGTAATGAAGATGTTTTTGTGTGAACGTGATTTACTGACAAATGATTTTTCAATTCCCAAATTATTAAAGTCATCAGGAAATAAAAGTGGACGATTCTTGAGCTTTCTTTAATGAGATATTGCAGTGTTTATTATGAATGTTTTATCCTTCCACATCATCACTGTAAATATGTTTATCATTTACAACTTTTAACGTTTATAATATATATGTAGTGCCATTATCACTTTAATTGCAACAGTTTTCATTAATATCAGTCATTCTGTTTTACATCTGATATTAAACTGACGTGCCAATAAACCTTTGTAAAACTGCTTCTCTGTTATAAATCTCTGAAAGCACACACCGACAGACGAGTCAGTCACAGATATCATTTCCATGCTCAATTATTCTGATTGTTTTCTGCCTTTAAATATGTATGAGTGTAAAGAACAGATGTAGTCCACACACACACACACACACACATGTTCCTAAAAAGTGTTTTCTCAGTGATGTCAGAAGAACATCTTCGGTTCCACTATTTTAAAGAACCTTTTGAGGAATGGGAAGAGAAGGGCCTTTGTGGAACTAAAGATGCCGATAAAAAAACTTTTAACTTTTAAACTATTGTGTGTGTGTGTGTGTGTGTGTGTGTGTGTGTGTGTGTGTGTGTGTGTGTGTGTGTGTGTGTGTGCTCTTCTCTACAGCTTGACATACTAAAGGCTGCTTTCACTTTATCCTATCAGTAACACTTTATTTCGATGTTCCCTTTAACACATTCTGTTGTAATAACATCAACCTGTAAACTAACTTGCATTAGAGTGTTTTTAGAGTATTAATAGAGTGACTCTGTTAGTAAGTTGACATGTAGTCGCACAGTTCCCTATAGTCACTAGAGTGTTCAAAATAAAGCGTGACCGATTCGCGTTATGAATAAAGTCCCACTTTCCCCTCAGTTCTCAGTCCATCATCACTCCGGAGAGTCGTGAGCGCGCGATCTGTGAGGAAGCGGAGGCTCATCATCATCATCGCGTCACTCGCGCTCACGCGTTCCTCAGGAAACTGTGTTTCCTCCCGGAGACTCGCGGTTCCCGGAGCTCGATGCGCGTCCCGAGCAGACCCCGCGGAAGCCCAGCGTGAGGAGACACGCGAAGCCTCCCTCGGACAGGAGACATGCCTCCTCCTACAGTGCTGAGCTCCTCTCTCGGGCTCCTAGCGGCGCTTTTCGCCCTGTTTTCAGCCGCTCTCCAAGCGCGCGCGCTCCACATTCAGCAGGACTTCGCGTCTCCAGAACGGACTAATAACTTCGTGGTGGACGCGGAGTCCGGGCGCGTTTATCTGGCCGCGGTGAACAGCCTGTTCCAGCTGAACGCGACGCTCGCGCGCGAGGTGGAGATGCGCACGGGACCCGTCCGCGACAACCCGCTGTGCCACGCGCCGCAGCTCCCGCAGGCCACATGCGAGCACGAGAAGACGCTCACGGACAACCACAACAAACTGCTCGTGCTGGACCGCGAGCAGCGCGTGCTGGTGGCCTGCGGCTCCGTGTATCAGGGCTTCTGCGAGCTGCGGCGCGTGGACGACGTGTCGCGCGAGGCCGTGAAGTTCCCGCAGGACGGGGCCACGGTGTTCCCGAGCATGCTCAACATCGCGGCCAACCACGAGAACGCGAGCACCGTCGGGCTGGTGTTCAGGGGCACCGGCGGCGCGCCACGGCTGCTGGTGGCAGCCACGTACACGGGCATGGGCACCGAGTTCTTCCCGAAGAACCACAGCAAAGAGGACCTGCGCTTCGAGAACACGCCGGAGATCGCGATCCGCGCGCTCGACACCGGAGACCTCGGCCGGCTCTTCACCTACGACATCAACCCGTCCGAGGACAACGTGTTCAAGATCAAGCAGGAGGTCAAGCAGAAGAACAAGCTGAGCTTCGTGCACGCGTTCGCGCTCAAGAGCTACGCGTACATCGCCATCAACAACGACGCGCACACGGGCGCGAAGGAGAGCCAGCCGAACAGCATCCTCGCGCGCGTCTGCCTGGACACGAACGCGCCGCGCAGGTCCGCGGAGAGCCGCAAACTCACCGAGTCCTACATCCAGATGGGGCTCCAGTGCGGGTCCCCCGGGAACATCTATCACCGGCTGCTGTCCGTGTTCCCCGCGGAGGTCAGCGTGCGCGGCGCGGCCCCGGAGCCGCATGTGTTCGGGGTGTTCGGCGGCGCGCGAGGGTTCACGGCGGTGTGCGCGTTCCGCGTGTGGGATGTGGAGGAGATGATCCGCACGGGCCGCCGTAACTGCTCGAGCGGCCCCAACAGTGACGTGCAGGTGCTGGACAGCGTCATCCAGGGGTCCGGGGCCGAGTGCGAGGGCAAGGGGACCATCGTGGTGAGATGATCATACACACAGCACCTCCACACACAGCTCATTTAATAGGTACACTTTGAAACAGATTTTGGGTCAGAAATGGACAAACCCGAACGTTTGGGTTAAAAATATAGTTTAAAAATTAACCCAGCGGCTGGGTTTGTCCATATTTGACCCAAAAAGCCTTTTTTAGAGTGCAGCGAATGTGACTAGTTTAGGTTACTTATCATCATAACATCACTATAACTCAAACAGAACATAGGCTTTAAAGTTACTTTAAAACGTACACTCTAAAAAGTTCTGAGTTTTTAACCCAATTTCGTTTCACATATGGACAAACCCTAACATTCCCAGCAAACAATTCTGTGTTTAAAAGACGTCTAATAGCGTCCAAACACACCTGATGTCTAGGCCAGAACCAGGCGGTCAGTGTTAACCATCGCCCGAGAACACACTCATCATCTGTAGAAGCTGAAATGACGGCTAATGCTGGCTGGGTTGGATTAAAAATATAATAAAAATGTAACCCAACGGCTGGGTTTGTCCATAGTTTACCCAAATTTGACCCAAAGGCGTTGTTTAGCGATAGTTCCGCCATTTCCCTTTCCAATATCAAGACTGAAGTAATGAACGGTGGCAGTATTATTCGGGAAATGTTTTTATTCCTGACAGTGAATGTGATGAAGATATATTATTTGTTTTACGCGGTTGTGTGGAGTTTGTGGGAGTTTCTGCAATATTTTACATTTTAATGACATTTGTGTCGTCTTTCAGTCACAGTGTGTGTGTGTGTGTGTGTGTGTGTGTGTGTGTGTGTGTGTGTGTAAGTAAACTCTCTCGATCACTGCAGGGAAGGAAACACAATGCCCAGTGTGATTAAAGTCATTTAGAGGGATATAATAAACTCAAAGAGCTTTTGCATCAGATCGTGATCTAACTATTAATCTGCCTAATAGAATAAACCGAGTGCGAGTGTTGTTGTTTATTGTGCTAATGTCCAGCTCTTTGGTTGTTTTTAAAATAAAGATGGAGGGATGTGTCGAGCCAGGGAACATCTCACTCAAGAGTTGACTTGTAGCCCTACAATCACCATAAATGTTTCAGTAATTTCAACTTAAATGACATTAAACTGACTTTAAAAATGAGTTGAGTCTAGTGTAGGCTAAATATAAAGAAAAGTAAAAACACTTATTTTGATGGGTTAAAGCAATGTAAACACGTCGTCATAACTGGTTGATAATCATATATTTTTACAGTCCTCTTCTTTAGGCTGTGTGTGTGTGTGTGTGTTGAACTGAAGGTTTCTGGTTTCTAATAATATACCGTGAACTCGAAATAATAATCCATCTCAAACATTACGAGCAGATCTGATGTGGATTTAAAGTCCTGTAAACCAGTCTGCAAACATGCTGTTTATATTACAGAGCGCCGCGCTTAGAAGGAGCATGTGTGTGTGTGTGTGTGTGTGTGTGTGTCGTCTTACGCAACTGGGAGCCGATGACATCACAGTCGTGTTGGCCCGCTCGGGCTGCTGGAGTGTGTGTGTGTGTGTGAGTGTGTGTGTGTGTGTGTGTTTGCCTCTGCTGGAGTGTGTGTGTGTGTGTGTGTGTGTGTGTGTGTGTGTGTGTGTGTGTGTGTTGAACTGAAGGTTTCTGGTTTCTAATAATACACCGTGAACTCGAAATAATAACCCATCTCAAACATTACGAGCAGATCTGATGTGGATTTAAAGTCCTGTAAACCAGTCTGCAAACATGCTGTTTATATTACAGAGCGCTGCGCTTAGAAGGAGCATGTGTGTGTGTGTGTGTGTGTGTCGTCTTACGCAACTGGGAGCCGATGACATCACAGTCGTGTTGGCCCGCTCGGACTGCTGGAGTGTGTGTGTGCGTGAGTGTGTGTGTGTGTGTTTGCCTCTGCTGGAGTGTGTGTGTGTGTGTGTGTGTGTGTGTTTGCCTCTGCTGGAGTGTGTGTGTGTGTGTGTGTGAGTGTGTGTGTGTGTGTGTGTTTGCCTCTGCTGGAGTGTGTGTGTGTGTGTGTGTGTGTGTGTGTTTGCCTCTGCTGGAGTGTGTGAGTGTGTGTGTGTGTGTGTGTTTGCCTCTGCTGGAGTGTGTGTGTGTGTGTGTGTGTGTGTGTGTTTGCCTCTGCTGGAGTGTGTGTGTGTGTGTGTGTTTGGTCTGATAGATTACAGTCTCCCGGATCGCAGGAGGTCACGGCTCTGAGCGAGAGGAACTCGTGAGAAACTCTGACTCCTGCGCTCCCCCGCTCCGGTTCCCGTCACCCCGCCGTGAACCTCTCACACACACACACACACACACACACACACACACACTGCGTAACCCGTCCGTCTCAGCGCCAGTGTCTGTAGTTCTGCTCATCAGTGTTGACTCTAACGTGTCGTTTGAGAGCTCAGCTGGGTAGAGATGAACAGAACTGGGTTATTGTCACCAGATTGATGTATATATTGACCCATTTGCTGGGATGTTTTTGACAGTGCTGGGTCAGTCATTTTGATATTGAAGGTCTTTCATTTTAAATCGTAAAAATGCACTTTATAATCTCTGTTATATTGGAACAGTTTGAAATGATTGTTGAGAAAAGTATCCAGTTTGGCACAGACTACCCAACATTGGGTTACACTGACCCAGCCCTGAGTAGAGATGACCACAGAAAAAGTACCCAGCACTACCTAAAACTTCTATAGATAACCCATGAGTCATAGGCTGAACCCAGTATAGTGTGGTGTTAATAACCCTCGCACATGTGATGGGTTTAGAGAACAGCTCATCAGGAGAACGGACCCTTTATAGACACGACATGATCAGTTTTGACTGTATTTCTGTATAACGAAGCGTTTCATGTTTGAACAGAGAGAGAGAGTGGAGTTGATTCAGTGACTCGTTCGGGAAGGGTTCGGAGTGAATCCTCTTCCGGTGTGATGATGTCAGTGTTGTGTGTGTTACAGCTCCAGCAGGAGCAGCTGAACTGCGGGGCCGCGCACCTCCAGCACCCGCTGGCCCTGAGGAGGCCCCTGAGAGCCCCGCCCATCTACGAGGCCCCGGGACTCAGCTCTGTAGCGGTCGACAACGTCCACAACCACACCGTGCTGTTCCTGGGGACGAGCCGCGGCCGGCTGCGCAAGGTGAGATCGCTCCAACACTGCACTCATACCATCAGCTCTTCACACCGGTTAAACACTTTATAACATGTCAGATCAATCGGGAACGCCTCCTTTTACAGTACACTACTTACAGTGCACTTACCTAGAAAGTACTGGCTAATATAAGGTAAGTACATGGGTTAGGGTCAGGGTCAGTATAGTTATTACCCAGTAATTGTAACTACTGTATTAAGTACATAGTATGTACAAGGGTAACAGGAGTGTGTGTGTGAAGGTTTAGCTCAAAATACCACACATGTGTTTATATAGTATGTTAAAATTTTCACTTTTTGTGGGTGTCCCTTTAAATGCAAATGAGCTGCCGGCACTGGGGGCGGAGCTTCAAGCGCTAGTGTGTGTGTGTGTGTGTTAGCGGCTCTGATTAGTCGACCAAAGTCCACTTCTAATGTTAAAAATGTTTCCCCATGACCGTTTCTACTCTCGCTGACCGTTAATATGGTGTCAAAAATATAAATTAGCATTAAAAAACTGGTTTAATATGGTTGGCTACAGGCGACTGTGAGTCGGGATAGTTTATGTGTCTGATAAATGCAGTGAAGCGACAGCACATAGAAACACACATCTCCCAATATTTGCCTTGTACACACACTCCATTAAAAGCATTCCTGTCGGATCAGGTGGTCCGTCCTCTTGTGTGTGTGTGTGTGTGTGTGTGTTTGCACTGCTTCTGCTGGACACAGAGTTTGCTCAGGATCTATTTGGTTTGTGGTGTCGTCCGCTGTAGTTCACTGATCTCCGTCAGAAACACACACTCTTAATCTACGTCTGTCTCCATGAAGATCCCTTAAAGGAGTAGTTCACTTTTAAAAAAACTTTTGCTGATAATTTACTCACCCCGTGTCATCCAAGATGTCCATGTCTTTCTTTCTTCAGTCGAAATGAAATTAAGGTTTTTGATGAAAACATTCCAGGATTTTCTCCATATAATGGACTTCAATGGGGTCCAAACGGCTCAAGGTCCAAAAGACAGTTTCAGTGCAAACTGTTCAAAGGGCTTTAAACGATTCCAGACGATGAATAAGGGATCAAAATTTTAAAAAAAAATTCTGAGTCAATTCGTTGTTTCGTTGGTTGAATGAATCAAATGACTCGAAAAAAGATTGTTCATTTTGATGAATGAGTTCGAACAGGAGAGTCACGAACGCGCGTCACAGAACAGAACAAGGCGAGCATTTGAGCTTATAAAACTTTTTGAAATGAGCGCTCGTTTACAATACAATGATACAATACATACAATGCTCGTTTCGCTTGATAAGACCCTTATTCATCGTCTGGTGTCGTTTAAAGCCCTTCGAAGATGCACTGAAACTCTCATTTGGACCTTGAACCGTTTGGTTCCCATTGAAGTCCATTATATGGAGAAAATCCTGGAATGTTTTCATCAAAAACCTTAATTTCTTTCCGACTGAAGAAAGAAAGACATGGACATCTTGGATGACACGGGGGTGAGTAAATTATCAGCAAAAGTTTTAAAGTTTTTAAAAGTGAACTACTCCTTTAAAGGAGCTGTATGTAAAAAAAATATTTCAAATAATCATAAAATGGCCCTGATGTGTCACTAGACATTAAGAAAGCATGTTCATTTCAAGTACAGAAGTGAAGTTGCAGCCCTCAACGGTCATGTTGTGTTTTGGTCTGATGCTCCGCCCTCCACCGATCCACCAATCACGGAGTCAGTAGTGTTGCAGCATTCGGGTTGCCAGCTCTGCTCTAGTTACCACAGCTGCAGATACAGACGTGTGGGATAAAAAAATGTTTGATCCTGCAGCCTATCTGGCAACCCCGAGTCAGGGAGTCGGGATACACCGCTCTACAGTCATTCGAAACTGATTGCAGTACCGGTTTTGGCCACAATCTTACATACGACTCCTTTAACATCCCTGGAATCTTTCCATCCCAAAACAAGGTTCTTTAGATGGTTAAATTGTTCTCTACACTGTAGGAACGCTTCCTGAAAGGCTCTTTGGGGAACAGAGAAACTGGAAACCGCTTTAGATTATTGATTTGATTTGACCTCTGCTGCTCTCTGCGTCTCGCTCTAAAATCAAATGAATGTACCATATTTTAGTTTGATAACGCTTTTATTTCATCCTTTTATTTTCTAAAGTATATTTACACTGCAATCCAGTTATTCGCTTTATAAGCATAGACCTGAAAATGTCATTTGTAAAATGTGATACTATGATATAGACTACATAGCCTATAATAAAACATAATGAAAGCCTGAACCAAACATATCCACAGATCAACAGTTCACCACAAAAAACAACTTTAAATTCATGAACTTAAATGTCATTGTGAAATAAAAAGAGATGTTTGTAGTGGTGCGTAAATCAGGCGACAGCCATTCATATTCTGAACGAGGATTAGCTTATCTACGGTTTATTTGTAGAACATCAACGACTCAAGCCTCCAGCGACAGTTTTTAATTTTTTATCAGATAATAACTGCTCAAGATTTCACTTTAGTATCATTTTTGGGACAATTAGGGCCGGATTCGGGTTTCTGGGACCGCTTATGTTTCGGGAGATCTGGTCATCAATCTATAAAGCAAAAATCTGCATAATCTGCATAATCTGCATAATTTGCCTCCAGTCGATGGATTTGCACTGTTTTTGTGTAAAAATTCAAAGATCAAAGTGCAGAAAAATTAGTTATTGTCTCCTAAACGAAAGAATCGATTCTGAACCGAAACGAGTCGTCAGTAATTCAGTCTCACTTCCTGCTGAATCTGTGTAGGTTTATAGATAATTAGCATAACGCTGATCCTCTGATCCTGATTGGCTGAGCAGCGTCTCTTAGCCCCGCCCTCCATCACTGTAGTGTATCTGAGACTGGGAGAGTTCGGCTCGTGTTTTCTGAGATTTATACGGTAAAACTCTCGCCATCATTACTGTTCGCATCACTGTGATCAAGAGCTGAGATTCAGATATGATAATGAGTGTGTGCTTTCTGACCAATCACAGCAGAGCAGCTCTCAGAGAGGCGGGGCTTAGAGAGACTGAATTTCCAATGGAAGCGTTTCAGACACTGAGAGAAAGAGCTGAAGCTGGAGATCATGAGGACATTAGTGTGTGTGTGTGATCATGGATGAATGTGGATCTGTTGTAGGAGACGCCAGAACAACATTAGCGTTAGCCTGTAACACAGCAGAATAGGGGCCCTTTAATACATAAATAAAAGATGATTTATCATGTTCCTGAAGCCAACGCAGGTGTATTCAGGTTTACCTCTCCTTCATGTCTGCTTCTGAAGACCCGAGCCACACACACCGACTCATGCCAAACACTATTGATGTGCCGCCGCCTGAGAAAACATCTGAACAAAGAGGCGTAATGAGGGTGTGTGTGTGTGTGTGTGTGTGTGTGTGCTGGAGGCGATGCGAGTGTGTGTTCTCCTCAGAGATAAGGGGATCTGGTCGAGTCGCTGCGGACGCGGGAAAGCCTTTTTGTTTCGCTGCCAACACACAGAGGTGTGTGTGTGTGTGTGTGTGTGTGTGTGTGTGTGTGTGTGTGTGAGAGAGAGACATACACACACTCTGTCTAGTGTGTTGATAATGTGTTTTCTGTTTCTGCCGTTTCTCAGTTTGAAGTTTCTTGTCATATTTCTGTGGATTTGATCACCGTCTGAAGGAAAGCTTTATTGTGTCATATATTGACTGTAATGAACTCTTAATCATCAGTTATTGATGTTTGATCAGCGGACGGCGGTGTGTGTGTGTGCCACAGCATATATCAGTGTCTACATATACACACATATATGAGTCAGGGATTAAAAAAAAAACTTTCCATAAATGTTTTTTCATGGTCATGTTGACGACCTGTCACTCAAAGATCCACCAATAGCAGAACACATCCATACAACCATCCAATCAAAACCCCACGGACACAATAAGCCCCGCCCACAGTTGTTCTCGGTCCACCTGGAATTCTTTCAACAATCAAACACTTTAATATCTTTAATTTCTCTACCTTTCTTTAGATTTAATATCACCCGGAAGTGTGTGTGTGTGTGTGGGGGGGGGGGGGCTTTCATGATGCCGCTGAGTGTGTGTAATGTTATTTGTTGGGTGAGATAAGCTTATTTGAGGATCTGTGTTAGTAGAGCCTAATTCTATTAGAGCTCAAGCTCTTTTTATCTGAGTGTGTGTGTGTGTGTGTGTGTGTGTACATCTGCTCATATTAACATCACACACACACTCACTCAGGCTTCAGACGGCTCCACTGTGCAGAATACTGCAGGCTTTGCTTCCTCTTCCACAGGTACTGTGATTAGGACACACACACACACACACACACACACACACACACACAGAACTGGTAATTAGCAGTGTGTGAAGGTTGATTTGGGCTTGTCAGATGAGTTGACGGATGTTTCACACTCGACTGTGTTCACGGGATGATAATTATGGATCTTTATGATATCATATCATTATCTGCTCTTCCTCTCGTCTAACGCGACTATAGAGCGGGATCGGGGTCACATGACCCCATCGTCATCACATGACCCCATCCGTCAGTGTAATGCTGTAATGCAGTTCTAGAATATCAAACCATGAGTCGAGAAAACCATTAAACCCACTGGAAATGGAAGGTCAGGTCAAGAGTGTTGCATTGTGGGATACAGTATGTACATCAGATTTAACACGCTTTTTTGTTTCAAAAACGTTATTTTACTTCCACACTCCTGCAGTGTGTTCGCCGTAGATGTGTGCTGAAGTGTGTGTGTGTGTGTTCATCAGCTGACTCTGCTGGCCGACCTCTCCGTGGCGAGTGTGTGGTCACTGAGACTCCCTGCTTCCGAACCGGTTCACCACATCATGACCTTTGACCCCAGCGACAGCAACTACCTGTACGTCATGACCACACACCATGTGAGTAATCAAGTGTTCACACATCATACACATCATGACCTGATACACTCCTCAAAGAAGGCGGAGCCTCAGAGCCACACCCACCTGCTTACATCATCACCACACAAGCCAATGGTAGAGTACATTTAAATGTTTAAAGGCCACAGTTGTGTCCATTAGTTAATGCACTGCGAACCGCATGAACAAATAATACTATTATTTAATATTATTACTGCATGAACAAATAATAAACAGCGATATTTGACTAACAAACGGTAAGAAATGCTGTAACAAATGTGTTGCTCATTGCTGTTTGTATCATATATTTGATGAAAGTGTAGCTGCATGAATGTTTGTTTAGCACACACACACACACACACACACACACTGTCTTCATCAGGTCTATTTCTGTGAGGTGATGAGAGAGTGTTGTGTGAAACATCATTGATGGAGGCTGTTAAATTGAGCATATGTCTGATCCTCAGTGTGTGTGTGTGTGTGTGTGTGTGTGCAGCTCCTGCGCGTGGCTGTGTCGGCGTGTGACCAGTACAGCTCCTGTGGAGAGTGTTTGAGTGCTGGTGATGCTCACTGCGGCTGGTGTACGCTGGACACACGGTAAACAGACTCCACCGTCTCTCTGAGACCTCACACTAACCCCACAGGAACCCCACAGCAGCGGTGTCGGCCCACATCCGGCCCACATCCGGCCCACATCCGGCCCACATCCGGCCCACATCCGTACAGCTGGACTGGAACCCCACAGCAGCGGTGTCGGCCCAGATCCGGCCCACATCCGTACATGTGGATTCAGCGAGCTCCAGATCTGGGCCGACACAAAAGCTGCTGTCTGGGAATGTTGATGGTCATTTTTGAGGATCACACACACACACACACACACACACACACACACACTCACACACACACACACACACACACGATGGCCTGAATGTAATGCATGAGTTGGTAATGCTGCTGTATGGACTTGCGTCTCCTTTCTCTTTCTTTCTGTGGGAAAAACAACATCAATTCTGCTGAACATTTTCAGTTTCACTTTATTTTGATGGTCCCTTACACACTCTCTGTTGACTATGAGTAACGTTACACCAACATGTCAACTAACTCTCATTAGGGTATTAGAATATTAGAAATTAGAATTAGAATATTTTTAAAGTATTACTAGAACATTAGTAGAGCATTAGTAGAGTATTATTGGTATTAGTAGAGTATTAGTTGAGCATTAGTAGAGTATTAGTAGAGTATTATTGGTATTAGTAGAGCATTAGTAGAGTATTAGTAGAGTGTTAGTAGAGCATTTGTAGAGTATTAGTAGAGTATTAGTAGAGTGTTAGTAGAGCATTAGTAGAGTATTATTGGTATTAGTAGAGCATTAGTAGAGTGTTAGTAGAGCATTTGTAGAGCATTCGTAGAGCATTAGTAGAGCATTAGTAGAGTATTAGTAGAGTATTAGTAGAGTGTTAGTAGAGCATTAGTAGAGTATTAGTAGAGTATTAGTAGAGCATTTGTAGAGTATTAGTAGAGTATTAGTAGAGTATTAGTAGAGTATTAGTAGAGTGTTAGTAGAGCATTAGTAGAGTATTATTGGTATTAGTAGAGCATTAGTAGAGTGTTAGTAGAGCATTTGTAGAGCATTCGTAGAGCATTAGTAGAGCATTAGTAGAGTATTAGTAGAGTATTAGTAGAGTGTTAGTAGAGCATTAGTAGAGTATTAGTAGAGTATTAGTAGAGTATTAGTAGAGCATTTGTAGAGTATTAGTAGAGTATTAGTAGAGTATTAGTAGAGTGTTAGTAGAGCATTAGTAGAGTATTATTGGTATTAGTAGAGCATTAGTAGAGTGTTAGTAGAGCATTCGTAGAGCATTAGTAGAGCATTAGTAGAGTATTAGTAGAGTGTTAGTAGAGCATTAGTAGAGTATTAGTAGAGTATTAGTAGAGTATTAGTAGAGTGTTAGTAGAGCATTTGTAGAGTATTAGTAGAGTATTAGTAGAGTATTAGTAGAGTATTAGTAGAGTGTTAGTAGAGCATTAGTAGAGTATTAGTAGAGTATTAGTAGAGTATTAGTAGAGTGTTAGTAGAGCATTTGTAGAGTATTAGTAAAGTATTAGTAGAGTATTAGTAGAGTATTAGTAGAGTGTTAGTAGAGCATTAGTAGAGTATTATTGGTATTAGTAGAGCATTAGTAGAGTGTTAGTAGAGCATTCGTAGAGCATTAGTAGAGCATTAGTAGAGTATTAGTAGAGTATTAGTAGAGTGTTAGTAGAGCATTAGTAGAGTATTAGTAGAGTATTAGTAGAGTATTAGTAGAGTGTTAGTAGAGTATTAGTAGAGTATTAGTAGAGTATTAGTAGAGTATTAGTAGAGTATTAGTAGAGTGTTAGTAGAGCATTAGTATAGTATTAGTAAAGCATTAGTATAGTATTATTTGTATTAGTAGAGCATTAGTAGAGTGTTAGTAGAGCATTTGTAGAGCATTCGTAGAGCATTAGTAGAGCATTAGTAGAGTATTAGTAGAGCATTTGTAGAGTATTAGTAGAGTGTTAGTAGAGCATTAGTATAGTATTAGTAAAGCATTAGTATAGTATTATTGGTATTAGTAGAGCATTAGTAGAGTGTTAGTAGAGCATTAGTAGAGCATTCGTAGAGCATTAGTAGAGCATTAGTAGAGTGTTAGTAGAGCATTTGTAGAGTATTAGTAGAGTATTAGTGGAATAGTAGTAGAGCATTTGTAGAGCATTAGTAGAGCATTAGTAGAGTATTAGTGGAATAGTAGTAGAGCATTTGTAGAGCATTAGTAGAGCATTAGTAGAGTATTAGTGGAATAGTAGTAGAGCATTTGTAGAGCATTAGTAGAGCATTAGTAGAGTATTAGTGGAATAGTAGTAGAGCATTTGTAGAGCATTAGTAGAGCATTAGTAGAGTGTTAGTAGAGCATTAGTAGAGCATTATTAGAGTATTAGTAGAGTATTAGTAGAGTATTAGTATATTCTTTTAGATTAGTAGAATAAGTTGATAAGTAATGGTAAAGTTAGTTATAGTTAATAGAACATATAAAGTGGGCTATGGAAATAGTGTTATCACATGTTCTTTTGTTTCACAGCAGGAAGAGTCACAGGGCTTCAGAGAACAAACCCTCTGAGATTTAGAGACAAAAATACACGTGTGGAATTTGCCAAACTGTGTTTGAACGGGATTTCAGATGTTTTGGGCTGGATTTCCTGTGGAGATTATCTTTATTCAAGGGTTTTCCTGAATGCTTGGAATTTGAGTCGGACGTCACTGGGTGAAAGAGCAGAGATTGTTCACTCCTTTAACATTTATCCCACTCATGGTGATTGTTCTCATGAGAGAAGCTCTTTCAGAGGAACATGTCAAACTGAGAGTCTTTGTGTCTGTCTGTGTGTGTATGTGTGAGTGAGGGAGTGTGTGTGTGTGTGTGTGTGAGACAGCGAGAGAGAGGGAGAGGGTGTGTGAGAGAGAGAGAGTGTGTGTTTGTGTGATTGTGTGTGTGTGTGTGTGTAAGTAAGTATAGCAAAGTTATAGCGTCTCGTTCCCTACTCAGGGATCTAGGGTTAGAGTCGTAGCCTGAGACATTCCCTTCCGAGGGAACTCGCGCTGTGTCGATGGCGCTTTGAGACTGGAATGCCCGAACGCCAAACGGCCAAGAACCTGTCATGTTAAACTGTCAGGCCATGAGAACTCCAGACCCAGGGCATCCATGTCTAGGTCATAAAGTCTGACACAGGTGAGCGGCGAGGACCAGCCCGCTGCATCACTAACTTCAACTTTAACCCCAGAATGAGGGCTTTGGAGGCCGACGTTCCCCTGGCAGAACGAGCTCTCATAGGCAAGAGGGATCGCCTCCACTGTCCATTTGCTAACAGTCTGTTTTCTTAGGGGACCCACAGGAGGGTGTGTGGACGTGTCCTGACTGGACAGATTCAGGTTGAGTTTCTCCTGGTCTAGATCTTTAAAGAAAGGAGGAGGACAGAACGTCTGCAGTACGATAGGCTGTGGTACATTGGTTGGAACCTTGGGTACAAATCCGGGTTTTGATAGAGAGACGCTTTGACCACCCTGGGTGCAAACTCAAGGCACGAAGGAGAAACCGAAAGGGTTTCACTTTTTAGAGAGGAAATGGCTAGAAGGAACACAGTTTTGAGGGTCAGAAACGTTTCCGAGACAGAATCAAGGGGCTCGAAGGGAGCGGTAAGAACAAGAGCCAGATCCCTAGCTGGAACTGTGGTACACACCGCAGGCCTCAGAGTGCCATGAAGGAAACGTGTTATCAGAGGATCTCCTCCGACAGATGAAGCCCCCAGGGGGACATGGTAGACGGCAATAGCAGCAACATAACCTCCAGTGTGGACGGAGATAACCCTGAAGAGAAAGGATCTCGCAGGAACTCTCGTGTTAAAACCAACGGTGCATTTAACTGGAGCCCACTGTCATAGATCAGGGCGTATAGCTTCCTCATAGATGGAGCTCTGGAGATGAGTATATGACCAGAGTCTATGAGTCGGGCCCCTCAGAGGCTAGAGCCCCAGACTGAATGTTTCTGGATGGGGATGGAGGATTGAGATGGAAGGTCCCTCCTGACCGGCCGTCGAGAAGGGTTACTAGGTCTGAGAACCACACCTGGCTCGGCCAGTACGGAGATACCAACCGAGCGGCCTCCCGAGGGCCGAGGGGAACACCGCTGAGTCAGGGGAACCCTTCTCCACGAGCAGAGCGCTCCTCAGATCGGTCTCATACATGGGCTGACATGGGCTTCTGTTTGAATTAATAATACAGCATATGAAAGTAATTATAATTTCAACATTTGAAAATAAAATATCTGCTCCAGTTTTCCTCAACATGGCGAACCTGCGGCTTTGAAGCTCGTGCTGTGTGTGTCTAGCAGGACGTTTAGATCGTGTGTGTTCCTGATTGTCATGTGCTGCTGGTGTGGGTTAGGGAAGTGTAGTTCGATCACGGCTCTCTGTGTGACGCACAGTGCTTGAAACAGGTTATGAAGATGATGATAACGATGAAGATGATAATGATGAAGATGAAGATGATGATATTGATTATGATGATGATGATAATAATGAAGATGATGATGATATTGATTATGATGATGATGATGATGATAATGATGAAGATGATGATTATGATAATGATGAAGATGATGATGATGATTATGATGATGATGAAGATTATAACGATGATAATGATGATGATGATATATTATGATGATGGTAGTGATGAAGATGATGATGATGTGCTGCAGGTGTTCGGTGCAGAAGAACTGCTCCAGTGGGACTCTGAGCCGCTCGTGGATCGGCAGCGCTGACGGCGTCCAGCAGTGTCCATCCATGAACATCACTCCACCAGAGATCAGTTACTCCGCACACATGAGGGTAACACACACACACACACACACACACCTGTTAAGATAACAACCGGCTGGATGTACATTATACCGATTATTATACGGATACTTGCCACATAAGTAAATAATTAGACATAAAATATTGATCTGATTGTAAATATTCTATTATCTCTTTGAACACACAGTGGAGAGAGCAGTTTCAGCGGCAATCAAACATTTCAGAGATACGGTTTACAGTCATAACACTTATTACATGGCATCACAACACATAAATAATAATGGGGATAAGAGATATTGATTTCAGATTAAACTGTTTGAAAATCGTACCGGTTTGTTTCTTATAATCCAACAGTGAACAAAACAATAGTAGCAAAATGGCCGCCGCTGCGATTATATTAGACTAGAGAGAGCGAGTCCACGAGACCGGATGGCATAATCAAAACATTGATTTGACTGAGTTTTAATATTTTATTAGCTCTAGTGAGTGTGTGTCTTCAGTGTGTTTCTGCTGTTATCTGGGAATAATACACCGCTGGATGAAGCCATTGACCAATCAGAATCAAGTATTGCACAGAGCCGTGTAAGAACATGAAATAAAGGACATAATCAGTAGCTAAGATTATCATTGATTGTGTTTCCAATATATAATCTGAATAGACGTCCGCTGGGATGAGATATAGAGACCGGATTGTGATGTGTTTACAATGATAAATGTCAGCTTTAGAAACTGAATGGAGCTTTTTTGATTCATCATATTAATTGTATTTAACATACAATCACATAAATGTAGAATCAGCATATAGGAAGTATTTATTCAATAATGTTTCTTTAATGGCAACTTTGTATGGCACATCACAATCACAGTCGAGAATATCCGACTCGCTTCAGCAATCAACAATATGTTTGAGGCGACGTTTATAACATTCAATAACTTATCATTCATCACAACAAATGAAACTTTCATTAAAATAATAATACAGCAATTGTGCAATAATAATCATAATAATATATTTTTTCTTCATGATAAATAACTCCAGAAGTTTCTGTCATCACACGCCTCGTCTGAACGAGAGTCTGTTTCTCTTCAAAGCTTAATTTATGCATTCATTTGCATGATAAAAAGTGCAATAATTACCTCTGTTTGTGGAATAAACTGATTTGCATAATTCCTCTTCTCATACACTGAACACAACACACATTTCAGTCTTCAGTCTGCTGTTTTAAAATGAGATTAATATTTGAAGCGTATATTGGGCTCAGATTGTGTTTTTTCCACACTGGGAATCTCTGGAAGATCTCCTGAAGGAGCTTCTGTCCTGATGAATCTCTCAGCTGATGTTGATTCAGGCCGGAGGAATGGAGTCTTCAGCCCAAACAGGAAACAGGACCCATGTCAGGAAGTCCACCATCGTGACAACAATAGACTCAATGTGGCGTGTGATGATGGAGAGATGAGTGTGTGTGAAGAGAGAGCCTCAGTTTCTAGAGATATGGTTATTGCTGCTCTTATTATCCTCGCTAGACTGCGTTCCTGACCCGAACCGGACCGCCATCCAACCTGTATGCTAACTGCCAATCGTCTCCAGGTCCTGATGTGGGGATCCTGATTGTGTGTGTGTGTGTGTGTTTCTCAGGACGTGGGGATCCTGATGGACGGCAGTGTCCCGGATCTGCAGGGTCTGAGGGTGGAGTGTGGTTTCGGGATGGGAATCTCCACTAACGCCACCGTGCATCTGGACTTCGGCACCACTAAGATCCAGACGTGTCCTCTGCCTCCGCCTCACATGTATCCCACAATCCCCTCGGGCAAAGGTGCTTACACAAACACAGCTATGCATTTAATCTTTTCAGTCCTTTGGTGAAGAGTTCTGTCTTTTATTATTGTGCACTCCATGATCCTGTCAAAGGCATTTCAGTGCAAGACGAGACGACACGTGCTGAGAATAGTTTAAAGTTTGGATTATTATATTTAGTGTAGAGTTATGATGTCTCTGTTCAGATCACATCACCGTTCCCGTGGCCATCAAGGTTAATGGTGTTCCTGTGGTTTCTGGGAGTTTCATCATTTACGAGTGTGAACGAATGGGAGCAATCCACCCCAAAACTGCGTGAGTAAACACACACACACACACACACACAGATACACACTAGTGATGAATGTCTCGAGACCACTTTTACGTCTTGTCCAGGTCTCGCTGTCTCAGACATAGTGGTCGGGGGATTTAACAATACAATACTACAATATCCACGATTATAACCGTAACGGATTGAAGCGTGCGTCCGAGTGAAGAGAAAACGCCGTATCGCATCACTGATCGTAGCGGCAACGAGCACTTTGATCACTTGATTTAAAAAACACATATCATGTACAGTTTTTGATGTATTAATATTTAGTAAAACACATATCAGTGACATGATGGGTTTTAACTTCATTCAGGAGATTTTGAGTAACTGCACAACTGATAGATGACTGAGTGTGTGTGTGTGTGTGTGTAACCATAGCGACAAAACGACCAACTTTCGGCTCATGCACTCAAGCTTATAATTTCGTTTTTAAAAGTATAATTATGTATTTAAAAGTTGCAGAATGGATTTATTTGGAGACTTCGAAATCAGAGATAGGCAGGCAAAGCAAAACAAAATCTTACAAGTTATTGCTTAGCTTCAACAACACTAGTCTGCTTTCTTCCCCTGCGGACTCGACTTGGTCTCGGTCTTGATTTGGTCTCGGACTCGACTTGGTCTCGGTCTTGACTTGGTCTCGGTCTTGATTTGGTCTCGGTCTTGACTTGGTCTCGGACTCGACTTGGTCTCAGACTCGACTTGGTCTCGGTCTTGATTTGGTCTCGGACTCGACTTGGTCTCGGTCTTGACTTGGTCTCGGTCTTGATTTGGTCTCGGACTCGACTTGGTCTCGGTCTTGATTTGGTCTCGGACTCGACTTGGTCTCGGTCTTGACTTGGTCTCGGTCTTGATTTGGTCTCGGTCTTGACTTGGTCTCGGACTCGACTTGGTTTTGGACTCGACTTGGTCTCGGTCTTGACTTGGTCTCGGTCTTGACTTGGTCTCGGTCTTGATTTGGTCTCGGTCTTGACTTGGTCTCGGTCTTGATTTGGTCTCGGTCTTGACTTGGTCTCGGTCTTGATTTGGTCTCGGTCTTGACTTGGTCTCGGTCTCGACTTGGTCTCGGTCTCGACTTGGTCTCGGTCTCAACTTGGTCTCGGTCTTGACTTGGTCTCGGTCTTGACTTGGTCTTGGACTCGACTTGGTCTCGGTCTCGACTTGGTCTCGGACTCGAGTTGGTCTTGGTCTTGACTTGGTCTCGGTCTTGATTTGGTCTCGGTCTTGACTTGGTCTCGGTCTTGACTTGGTCTCGGTCTTGATTTGGTCTCGGACTCGACTTGGTCTCGGTCTTGATTTGGTCTCGGACTCGACTTGGTCTCGGTCTTGACTTGGTCTCGGTCTTGATTTGGTCTCGGTCTTGACTTGGTCTCGGACTCGACTTGGTCTCAGACTCGACTTGGTCTCGGTCTTGATTTGGTCTCGGACTCGACTTGGTCTCGGTCTTGACTTGGTCTCGGTCTTGATTTGGTCTCGGACTCGACTTGGTCTCGGTCTTGATTTGGTCTCGGACTCGACTTGGTCTCGGTCTTGACTTGGTCTCGGTCTTGATTTGGTCTCGGTCTTGACTTGGTCTCGGACTCGACTTGGTTTTGGACTCGACTTGGTCTCGGTCTTGACTTGGTCTCGGTCTTGACTTGGTCTCGGTCTTGACTTGGTCTCGGTCTTGATTTGGTCTCGGTCTTGACTTGGTCTCGGTCTCGACTTGGTCTCGGTCTCGACTTGGTCTCGGTCTCGACTTGGTCTCGGTCTTGACTTGGTCTCGGTCTTGACTTGGTCTTGGACTCGACTTGGTCTCGGTCTCGACTTGGTCTCGGACTCGACTTGGTCTTGGTCTTGACTTGGTCTCGGTCTTGATTTGGTCTCGGTCTTGACTTGGTCTCGGTCTTGATTTGGTCTCGGTCTCGACTTGGTCTTGGACTTGACTTGGTCTTGGTCTTGGTCTCGGTCTTGACTTGGTCTTGGTCTTGGTCTCGGACTCGACTTGGTCTCGGACTCGACTTGGTCTCGGTCTTGATTTGGTCTCGGACTCGACTTGGTCTCGGACTCGACTTGGTCTTGGTCTTGGTCTCGGTCTTGACTTGGTCTTGGTCTTGGTCTCGGACTCGACTTGGTCTCGGACTCGACTTGGTCTCGGTCTTGATTTGGTCTCGGTCTCGACTTGGTCTCGGACTCGACTTGGTCTCGGTCTTGACTTGGTCTCGGTCTTGATTTGGTCTCGGTCTTGACTTGGTCTCGGACTCGACTTGGTCTCAGACTCGACTTGGTCTCGGTCTTGATTTGGTCTCGGACTCGACTTGGTCTCGGTCTTGACTTGGTCTCGGTCTTGATTTGGTCTCGGACTCGACTTGGTCTCGGTCTTGATTTGGTCTCGGACTCGACTTGGTCTCGGTCTTGACTTGGTCTCGGTCTTGATTTGGTCTCGGTCTTGACTTGGTCTCGGACTCGACTTGGTTTTGGACTCGACTTGGTCTCGGTCTTGACTTGGTCTCGGTCTTGACTTGGTCTCGGTCTTGACTTGGTCTCGGTCTTGATTTGGTCTCGGTCTTGACTTGGTCTCGGTCTCGACTTGGTCTCGGTCTCGACTTGGTCTCGGTCTCAACTTGGTCTCGGTCTTGACTTGGTCTCGGTCTTGACTTGGTCTTGGACTCGACTTGGTCTCGGTCTCGACTTGGTCTCGGACTCGAGTTGGTCTTGGTCTTGACTTGGTCTCGGTCTTGATTTGGTCTCGGTCTTGACTTGGTCTCGGTCTTGACTTGGTCTCGGTCTTGATTTGGTCTCGGACTCGACTTGGTCTCGGTCTTGATTTGGTCTCGGACTCGACTTGGTCTCGGTCTTGACTTGGTCTCGGTCTTGATTTGGTCTCGGTCTTGACTTGGTCTCGGACTCGACTTGGTCTCAGACTCGACTTGGTCTCGGTCTTGATTTGGTCTCGGACTCGACTTGGTCTCGGTCTTGACTTGGTCTCGGTCTTGATTTGGTCTCGGACTCGACTTGGTCTCGGTCTTGATTTGGTCTCGGACTCGACTTGGTCTCGGTCTTGACTTGGTCTCGGTCTTGATTTGGTCTCGGTCTTGACTTGGTCTCGGACTCGACTTGGTTTTGGACTCGACTTGGTCTCGGTCTTGACTTGGTCTCGGTCTTGACTTGGTCTCGGTCTTGACTTGGTCTCGGTCTTGATTTGGTCTCGGTCTTGACTTGGTCTCGGTCTCGACTTGGTCTCGGTCTCGACTTGGTCTCGGTCTCGACTTGGTCTCGGTCTTGACTTGGTCTCGGTCTTGACTTGGTCTTGGACTCGACTTGGTCTCGGTCTCGACTTGGTCTCGGACTCGACTTGGTCTTGGTCTTGACTTGGTCTCGGTCTTGATTTGGTCTCGGTCTTGACTTGGTCTCGGTCTTGATTTGGTCTCGGTCTCGACTTGGTCTTGGACTTGACTTGGTCTTGGTCTTGGTCTCGGTCTTGACTTGGTCTTGGTCTTGGTCTCGGACTCGACTTGGTCTCGGACTCGACTTGGTCTCGGTCTTGATTTGGTCTCGGACTCGACTTGGTCTCGGACTCGACTTGGTCTTGGTCTTGGTCTCGGTCTTGACTTGGTCTTGGTCTTGGTCTCGGACTCGACTTGGTCTCGGACTCGACTTGGTCTCGGTCTTGATTTGGTCTCGGTCTCGACTTGGTCTCGGACTCGACTTGGTCTCGGACTCGACTTGGTCTCGGTCTTGATTTGGTCTCGGTCTCGACTTGGTCTCGGACTCGACTTGGTCTTGGTCTTGACTTGGTCTCGGTCTTGATTGGGTTGTTTGGTGGGGGGGCACTGATGTCTTCTCGTCCAACATCAGTGCCGGACCACACTAATGCGCTTCTAGAAGAATAATTCCCATAAACTAACGCCAAAACCTTGTGGAAAGCATTCCCAGAAGAACTGAAGCTGTTATAATTCCAAACTCCATATTAAACCCTACGGATCAGGAATGGGATGTTATTAGAGTTCATGTGCATAGAGAGAGAGCCACATGTCTGCTGTAATCTTTCCTTCAGCACAGTCTTCAACAGTGACTCTCGATGTAAAACACAGTTAGTAAGTGTTGATCCGCTGCATGACTGTCAGGTACGTGTGAGTTCATCTCCATCTGCTGTCTGTGAAGGTGATAATAAGCTCCGGGCCGCTGGAGACACTGCAGTGTGTAACTTCACATCTACATCAGTTTAACATATTCACACCAGACTCAGAGCGCATCTATATATATATATATATATATATACTGTATATCACTCTCAAACGGTGTAAGAATATGCAGCCCATCTGAAAGTAGCAGTTGACAAACAAATCAAGCAAAATGGTTAAATGAAGATCAGTGTCTCCCCTGTCTAATAACACACATCATGTGTTAAAGCGTCTTTGGTGTTTTCATGCTTTCGGAAATGGAGGGTAACGTGTGTATCCACTACAACACAAATCTCAGTCGGGTCGATTAAGGCGTTTACATGAAGTTTTTCAGTGCAATTGAGCCGTCAATGGATTATTTGGTACACACACACGCACACACACACACACACTCCATCTGTCACCCTGCTGAGACTCACACACACACTCAAGCTTTATCTTATCTTAAACAAACACACACACTCTCTCTGTGTGTGAGATAGGGTCGTAATGATTGCTGGGCTAATTGTGTGTGTGTGTGTGTGTGTGTAAGATGGTCTCCACCCCCGCAGACACACTCCACTGGATACACTCACCATTATTGCTACAGCGCTTTATACAGTCCAGATGTTTCAAACTAACGGAGTCACTGACACACTTTAAATACGAGACAGATTCAGTTCTGCTGCAACAAACACAATAGAGTCATTATTCAGATCAGATCAGTGTGTGTGTGTGTGTGTGTGTGTGTGTGTGTGTGTGTGGACGTGACCCGGCTCTACAAAACACTGTAGTCTAATGTCTCACACTATAGTCTCAGCTGTGTTTGATCTCTGATCTGTGGTGTGTCAGACACACACACACACACACACACACACACTGTTTATTGGTCTTCACGTTTCCTCAAGCTTGTGTCGTCTTTACTCCTCATCATTCTTTAGTGGTATATCCTAATGCAGAAACACTTTCTCGTGGCTCATGAGCAGGAACACAAGTGTGTTTAACTCTTTTCTCGACCTTATTTAACACTGATTTCATCATCTCTATTGTACATGTCGGCTATTTCGCATCTATTCATACACTCTGACTGTGAGTATGAAGCTCTGTTTCTGACGTGAGCAGATCGGGGCAATTCAGAGCAAATCGCCACATTGTACAATGCTTCTAAATGTTAATGTGGCATTAAGCTGGTTTAGATCGTACTTATCAGACCGTCATCATTTTGTGTGTTTAAACGGGAAAAAAATCAAAGATAACGTCAGTAGACTATGGAGTACCGCAAGGATCGGTTTTAGGCCCTCTGCTATTCTCAATATATATGCTGCCACAGAAAACATGGAATTAATTTCCACTGTTATGCTGACGACACTGTATTGTGAAAAGCGCTATATAAATAAATGTGACTTGACTAATGTGTGTGTGTGTGTGTGTGTGTGTGTGTGTAGGTGCACGAGCTGTTTGAGTACTCGATGGCGCTGTTACTGGGACCCGCAGCTCAACTCATGCGTTTCCAGCAAAAACAGCACACAGCATGATCTTCTGGAGGTGAGAAACACACACACACACTCAAGAGCGTTTCTCTTTACATGTACAGTGATTACACAGCAGAAACATGTGTTTGCATGTAACATGTGCTTAATGTGTGGTCAGGGTTTCATTAAGGGTCAGATGAGTCCAAACTCTTAAAGTAAAAACACAACTTTAAGTTTTATATTGTACATTTCTCAAGTTAAGGCCAAGAAAACAATATAATGTGTCCTCAGCCATCCCAGAATGCACTGCAACAATCTGAATTAAGACAAAACTAAAACATTGAGTCAATATTTAATTGAGTTGACTTACTCTAAATAAATAACCCATGATGCGAGCTCAGTGCTGATTGTGACGCTCCATGTTTCCTGTTATACTAAAAATACAGCAGGAGAATAAATCAAACCCGCAGTAACTGCAGTCGGGCGACTCGTCTGTGTGTTTCTCAACATGGACCTCGAACACGGCTGGGAAATATCTGCTTATTTAAGGCACTTTGGGGATTGGTGTGCTAACGCTCTGATTCAGAATAGGGTCTGATTGCGCTCGTACCGTCAGAAATAACTGATGTTTGCAGTTTCACTGTCACCACCCTTCCCCACACACACACACACACACACACACACACACACACACAGGAGATTGCTTGCATTCTTAGTTCTCTAAACATCGGTCTCCATTGTTTTCTCTCCTCCTGTTTCTCTCCCAGAATTCCCAGTTCTGTCCCAGTATGGAGGCCCGTGACGTTCCTCCGCTGGCCACCGGAAGTCCTCATGTTTTCACCCTGGACCTCAAGAACGTACAACATGTAGGACTCTAGCGTTCTTACACACACACACACACACACGCAGATCACAGCTCGTTTTGCCTAGAGATAATGACAGAATCAGTGTCAGTGTTTCTGAACTCCTGAAACGCCTCCTTTAGTCTTCAGTTTCTCCCGGGAACACGTCACAATATTCCTCATTATAATAATTAATGCGCATAATAAAGGGGAGGGGCCTGGTTGAGTTAGTTAGTTGTGTTTTAAACTGGTGGTTATGGAAGGGGCGGGACATTTCCCAAACACGCTCGAAGCGTTTGACCAATCACAAAACCCTGATCCACCCGACCAATCAGAGCACAGTGTGCTTTCAGGAGGAGGGGCTTCATAGAGACAGGAAGTGAACAGAGCGTTACTGACAGACTGGGAAGAGAGGAGCCGCAACACTGGAGAATATGAGGAGAATAATCAACATTCCTGTTCTAGTAGAGCCTGAAACACATCAAGAGTTCGAGAAAGAGCAGAATTGGGCAACTTTAAAGGGATAATTCACTTCAAAATGAAATTCTGTCCTCATTTTCTCTCCCTGAAGTTGTTTCAAACCTGTATGAATTTCTTTCTTCTGCTGAACAAAAAGGAAGATATTTTAAAGAATGTCAGTAACCAAACAGTTAACTGGACCCATTATTACCATAGACAATCGCTGGTTTGAGTGTGGGAACCATTCTCTCTATATTAGGTGTGTTTAACTGCTATACTTTAATGAGCAGATGTCGTATTATAAAACACCAGTGCTGTTCTTGAGCTGGATGTAGGACAGGTTAGGACAGGTATGGGTGGGTTTAGGGTCAACTTTGTGAATATAGTTGGAATTATTGGCAGGTATTGCTTATGCGCAAAAGTGTGTGTGTGTGTGTGTGTGTGTTTTTCCTGAGAGCAACTGAGGCCATGAGAGTCGCTGGATGTCAGAGACCGTGAGTCATGAGAGGTCGTCTCTGTCTCATGGTCTTGTGATGTTGTGTGAACATGACTCTGATGGGATTGGACATGCTGTGGTCGTCATGCTGTGTGTGTGTGTGTGTGTGTGATGGGTAGGTTTAGGGTTAGTGTAAGGGGAGAGAATATACAGTTTGTACATAATAAAAAACATTACGTCTGTGGAATGTCCCCATTTAGATAGCTAAGTAAACGTGTGTGTGTGTGTGTGTGTGTGTGCAGGGCACTGCGCTGGACTGTGACTTCGGCGATGGGCAGCTGTACGGTGTGCAGTGGCTGGACGGGTCATCGGTGAACTGCAGTGGAGTGACCGTAAGTTCATCCGAGACACACACTCTCGTCGGGGAGAACGGGAACACGTTTGATTCAAAAACAGTCACAGACAAATTCACATTAACATCTGACTCACATTCAATCTATTCAGGTCTGAAGATTACATTTCACCTTCACTTTACCACACTGACACAATTCTCAGAACAAAAGATTCAGAAGTACAGGTTATAAACACGCAATTGTGAGAAAAAGTCAGAATTATGAGATAAAAAGCTCCAATTATCTTATTTTTTTTATTCTGTGGCAGAAACAAGCTTCCATGTTTGTAACTGCAATTTACAACTTTGATTTTTACAAAATGAATAAAAGTTTCATATGTTTGTGCAGCTAAAAACTGCAATGTGGAGCCGAATATTCCATCTGAACCTACGGAGAAGAGGAACCAACACATATATAGACAGTCCAAAACCAATGACAGGTATCAGCACACACACACACACACACACACACACACACACACACACACACACACAGATATAAGGTGTCCTTAAGGAAGTGTATGAAATCCAATAGAAGAGTGTGTAGTTATCACAGTTGTGCTGAGCATGTGTCTCGTCAGACTGTCTGTTCACTCACACTGACTCATCAGAGCACACACACACACACACACACACACACACACACACACACACACACACAAGACTCTGTGTCTTGGTGTTGATGCTATGGGGAATGCCCCCAGCATGAGTGGTGTTTGAAACACTTGTAAACAAGCCAGTATTGGTTGGCACAGGGCCGTCCGTGACATCACGTGTGTAAGTGCACCTGATCTACATGTCATCAACTCCTTTGTGTGAAGGAGACGGGCAGGCAAACCTGAGGCCAACACCGCATCTCGTTCCCAGGGAACCGGGTTTCATACGCCAGCTGAGACGTGTTTCAAACTTTGCCGCTGTGTTGGCGCTCTGAGGAACCAATACCAGCCTGACTGAGCTGTGATTATACACAAACATAGTCATGGCATTAAATGACTTTCTGGGAATAGGCCGGAGTCAAGCGCGTGCCAACACCAAGGCCGTATCCTATGGGACGAGGCATAGTGACACTATGACTGACTATCATGGACTCGTGAGGAGAAATGAGCCGCGCACACCTACCTTACGTAATGGCCAAGGACCAATGGTAGTACGAAGGCGTTTACCAGCCGAAGCAAACTTTTCCGGAAAGTTCACTTTGGCAAGCTAAACTCCCAAAACAAACTCCAAACGAACTTAGTTTCGGCTTGATTTTGTTCGAAATATTTCGTTTCATTTGAAGTATACCTTGGCCTTCATACCCTGACATGAGTAAAGCCACTCTCCAAGACCCATCATTGGTAGTGAATTGAGGAAAGCAACCCGTCCTAGAAAAGCCCCCCATCCTAACCCTAACCCTAACCCTAAGCGGATCGCGTATCCAATAGTGAATAATGAACGGCCGATAGCTACAGCCGTCGGTTTGGCAATTCAGCGACTGCTTCGGGAGACAATCCCTGTCCCGGATCCAAATCTCTCTCAGCTCAGCCCGATACCTCTGTAAAACAGGGCAGCACCAGCCGGATCCTGATTCGCTAAACCGGCGCCTTCGAAGAGGATCCCTCACTCGGAGAGATATGCTGCACAAAAGTCCGCCACCATCAATGAATTCGAATTCTACTTCCTATGACAAGACCCCCGTTCCAAGATGGCGGCGGTTTTGACGCATGCTTAGAACCCCAAGGTGAGATCTAGTGTATATGTCTATGGGATGAACGGATGTGACATCAAAGGTGCTATAGTGGCAGACATGCGGTTTTAGAGCACTCCCAGCTCAACAACACTGTCACGGTTGTGCTTTCAGATATTATCAAATGCACAGACTGTACTTGGATGATGCTCACCACTCGTTTCACAAGGGTTTCAGTGGACAGATATTGAGTGTGTGTGTGTGTGCAGTGGAGGTGTACAGCTGTGGTGCGGGGGTCAGCGACTGCTCCCAGTGCCGGGGTCGTGAGGCGCAGGGTCACATGTGTGTCTGGTGCCATAGCGAGTGTCGTCAGCGAGACCAGTGCCAGACCATCACTGCACACTGCCCAGATCCACACGTCCAGAAGGTGAGACTCACACAAACACACAACCACACGGACATAAACGAGATCATGAACAGCAGTGAGGATAGAAGAGATGAAAATCCAGTCAATATTGACTCAGCCTGGTGTTCTTCTGGAGCTGTGACCTCCTTTCATTTTCTGCACAAGAAACAAAACATAATTTAATATTTAAGCAAGGAACGGAGGCCATATGGCCAGTAAATAAAGACTGACTTCAGGAGAAGCCCCACAATGTGTGGATTCTGCTGTAAATATGCTAAAGTCTGCGAGGGATAGTGAGAGGCAGCTCAGTACGAACATTTATCTGCATATCTGAGCGCACACATCAATTAAACCAAAACTCCAGCGCTCGAGGACTATAAATTGTGGCAAAAGTCACACGGTCAAGTTTAGTCATATTATTTTAGCTTGGTGAGTTATGTGACCATAAGTTGCGACTATAAACCATTGGTTTTTTATTCTGTTGTTCTATAACCAGCGTGTTGGGATTTGTTTGGGCACAAAGACATAATCAACCATGACTTAACGACACAGTGTAATACGCAATAGTGCTTCTGTCCCACATTCCCTGAGCGGGTCATGATGACTCAGAGATCCTGCTGATCTGCAGACTGGAGGAATGGAGTGAGTGTGCTCAGATGTAGAGCGAAGGCTGCACACACACACACACACACACACACACACACACACACACTCCTCCTTCTGCTTTCTCCAGAAGCGTTCGCAGCTCTGACATGATGTTCATCTGGGTTTAAGGCAGTTATCACTCACTTTCTACATTTCTTCAAGTATTGAAGTGGAAAACAAGCTTCCATGAGTAACAGAAAACACCTTCGTGGACAAAATTCACCTAGTAACACAAGATGCATTTTGCAATTCTTTCCCTAAACTCTCAAACCTTGCTTTTCTAGACCTGTATGCAAGCATGTGATGCGACTGGATGAAATGTATAGATTCCTGTGGATGTTTGTGGCTCCATGGATAAATGCCTTGTGTAAAGCATGATGAATGAGTTGAGCGAAGCGCTCAGGACAAACCACCAGTGTCCTAGTTTTCTCTCAAACTTATTTGAATATGTTTAAAAAGCCTGTGATTTCTGTCCTCTATTTCACACTTTCTCTTTGTGTGTCTGCCTCTCACTTGGGTAAAGGGTGTAAATGAAGACGACAGCAGGTAAATGACGAGAACTGAGACTCATTACACAGTTCAGTGATAATTATGATGTTTACAGACCTCCAGAGAACTGTGTGTTTACACGTTTTAAATTTGCAGATGATTCTTTACATATCCTACTTTTGTGGTTTGTGAAATTCAGTCTCCAAAATTGGCTCAGATCGTCTTCAGACCGAGCTTTAATAATCCCAACCATTCTGAGATAACGCGTGCACGCCAGACTGGACACCAGGTTAAAGGTTTAGTGTATTGTGCATTCAGCACAGCGCCACCTGCTGGTCTGGAGATATGAGGACAAACTTCTTTGCTGAAAAATCTTACTGTTCTCTTTATATTCAGTGCAGCAAACCAGTCAAAAAACCCAACTTTCCCATATCGGCGATTTTGGGCATCGGCCATTTTGAATTTTGGCTTAAAATGCTGTATCTTATAAACGTATTTGCGTATCGTTACAAAGCTCTATGTGCCATTTTACGTACTGAAAAATTTAGGTACAGCTCCACCTTGTGGTCAAAATTGTAAATGAAATATCAAAAAATGTGAATAGGAACTGATTATTTTTGCCTATTTGAATGAAATTGGTCTACATATATTGCTTGAGTTATACCGCAAACAATGATACCAGTTATGCCATACTGGGTCTAACTTGCTGGCCGCCGTTTTGCGTTTTGTTGCACACCTGCTGTTAGGAGCTCCTCCTGGACCACAGGTCTGAGTTTCAGCATTATCGGCTCACACCGTCTTCACACAAGCCGGACAAAAGACATCAAGAGTGTGTGTGTGTGTGTGTGTAAGGACAGAGTGTGGAGTCATCAGTGCTCATGTGAACCGCTGAAGTTTGGCTTGTTTCACTTCCCTCTTCTCCTCCTTCTCCTCCCTCACTTCTGTCTCACTGCGAACACTGAAGCTGCTGTGTGTGTGTGTGTGTGTGTGTGTGTGTGTGTGTGTGTGTGTGTGTGTGTGTGTATCTGTCACTCAGATGGCAGATATGGACAAACCTCAGAAACATAAAACCACACTTTACAACAAGATTGAAGATTACAACAAGATTATTGTGCATTCAGATTATGTTTTAAGTTGTTAAGCGAAATCAATGAGTTTAAAAGACTTTATACATGTAGAACACGAGTCTGCGTTTCTGCATGTGTGTAATGTGTGCTGAGATGTGGGCCGCAGTATTGCAGTCATACAGGATCAGGAATTAAACTGAACACAAATGGCCATTGATCTAGGCTGAGTGAAGGAAAGGCAATAATCTGCAATATTCACAAATAACTGTATTTGAATGCTTCATTGATATAACATGGCACTGAGTTGTTAGGAAATGAATGCTTGATGACGTAAGGAACCGATAGTTCATTGAAACAAAAGAACCGTCAACTGTCCAAGAGAACCGATTCACTAGTTAGAGTTCCTTTGTTCTCATTTTCCCGCCACTCGTTAGTCTCCTTGGTTACTCATTTTTTAAATCTCACCTGTAAGTATTCAGTTGGTTATAAGCCGGTTATTGTTGTTTATGAATGGCACTCTGTTTTAAAGTGTAATAATATTTTAACATTCCTACTGTATTTTTGATGACATTTGATGACAAAAGACTTCGTTCAGAAATATATATTGAATAATTCCGAACACTTGACTGGTGGTGTACATTAGTGTGTGTGTGTGTGTGTGTGCTGCAGATCGAGCCGCTGACGGGGCCTGTGACGGGCGGGACGCTGCTCACGGTTCAGGGCAGGAATCTGGGACACCGAGCGGATCATGTCAACGTCTCCATCGGGGAAGTGCCCTGTGACATACTACACTACACTGTCTCAGTCAGGTAACCACACACACACACACACACACACGCACACAAACACAATTCTTTTTAGCATGACAAAATGTTTTAATAATGTCTTGGTTATGTCAAGGTTTGACTGTATCATCATTATGGGAACGTTACGTTTGAATGTTCTGAAGAAAGTAACATTTAAAAATGTCCAAATTAAACGTTTCAGTAACTTTTATGTGCCGTGTTTTGGGTCATGACCCACTGCTGATGTGTGTGTGTTGTTGCAGGTTGGTTTGTGAGACTGGTGCATCATGGGAAGCGATGAGTGACCGTGTGGCGGTGAGCGTGGCCGGTAACACAGTGGGGTTTTCGAAGGACGTGTTCTCGTTTGTGGTGCGTACAGGCCTTCTGTTCTCTGGTCTTCCTCTCACCTCGACGGCTAACACACACAGAGCACGAATGTGGGGGACGAATGTGTGCAAGGTTCTCTGAAGGTTCTTCCTGTGATGTTAATCGAACGTTCACTCAAAGTTCTTTAATAATGCTCTCAAAACATCAGAACAAAAACATTATTTATACAGCGGCCATTGAACGTTTTAGACAGTCGTTAATCGTTACTTTTTTGAGAACGTTCAGAGAACATTCAAAAGTAACGTTCCCAAAATGTTTGAGCATGAAACAAATTAAATATTCCCTTTTGTTAAATAACCAAGAAAAAAACCTTTTTAAAAACTAGCACTTTGAACGGTAGTAGTGTCGTAATATCGCCGTAGTCCGTGAGTCACCCGTAGTGTTTCTGAAGAGCATTACTGAAGCCCAGAGTGCCCATATTGCAGCGAGGCGGATTAGCTGAAGGGACGTGATAGAGACGGAGGACTGGTTTAGGTGGGAGGACTGGTTCAGGTAGAGGACTGGTTCAGGTAGAGGACTGGTTCAGGTAGAGGACTGGTTTAGGTGGGAGGACTGGTTTAGGTGGGAGGACTGGTTCAGGTTGGAGGACTGGTTCAGATGGAGGACTGGTTCAGATGGAGGACTGGTTCAGATGGGAGGACTGGTTTAGGTGGGAGGACTGGTTCAGGTGGGAAATGGAGCTGGAGCAGAACTATAGAAACTATAAAAGAGGAAATTCCAGGTCAGTCCCTGAGGAATCACTCCTCCTCCAAAGCTCCTTCCTCAGGAAACATCTGTCTGAGCGACACACACTTACGTTCTAACATCCTCGCCTCGACGGGAAGTGATGTCATGGTCTGAGTGGACTGTGTGTGTGTTTCCGACGTTCACTCTACATGCCACATTACTTCTAATGACATGCTAATTTAATCTAACCTTCCAGTAGAGTTTATATGATCGAAGCCACTACACTCAGACTTTATCAACAGCTTTAGCTCTTTAACATTCGGAAATATGAATATTTATATGAAGCCGTAGACTGTAAAGAAATATTGGCGTAGTGTGAGTCACCCGTAGTGTTTCTGAGAGCATTACTGAAGCCCAAAGTGGCAGCGTCGCTTCCGAATAAACGAAAATGTGCAGCGAGGCGGATTAGCTGAAGTGACGTGACGCTAACATACACCAGACAAACGGCTAGCGGTGACATCAGCGGCAACACATCTGTCACTCAAGTGGCCGAAGAACTTTAAGGCTTTATGTAATTTAAACAGATGAGTTATGAAAAAATAACCTCAGTCGTCATGAAGGGCAAAATTAGCTATATAGACCAAAACCACTTTTAGGACCAGACTGTAAACATGTTTTTTCTGCTGTACCGTTGGGCATTTTAACATGGGGGTTTATGGGATTGAGTCTCTTCTGCAGCCGGCCTCTAGTGGCCAGGGGAGGAACTGCAGTTTAAGTCCCTTCAGTGTTGATTCGAGAGAGAGAGAGGAAGGTTGCCGCTTGTGGGAAACACAGCTAAAGTGGTCTTTGGAGCATAGTAGCATTTCTAGTAGATTCGCCGGTTCAGTTGCTCTTCTGGCCGAAGCCTGTCACAGGACGCTGTGTTTTGGGATGCCTGACCAGATCTTGCTCTACAGAAGCTCAGTTAGTTGTGAACTCTTTGAGTAAGTGTTCCTCGTACACAGGAGCCGAAACTGCTGGAGTTCTCCCCGCCACACGGGCCTCTCGCCGGAGGAACCCGACTCACCATCAGCGGACAGTTTCTGGACGCCGGATCCACTGTCAGCGTCAGGATCAACACCACTCACGACTGCAGCATCTACATGTGAGTGTGTGTTCGTCTCATATTTCACTGATTTCATATTACATCAGGAATGGGCTTATATTTGTGAATCAGATGTATATAGTCAGATGATTATGTTGTGAATGTGTGTGTGTGTGTTTGCAGGCGGTCGCGTGACGTGATCGGGTGTGTGATGCCACCCGCCGCGCTGGCAGAGAACGTGTCTGTGTGTGTGGTGTACGACGGCCGGCCCTGCCTCAGCGCTTCGCCCAGCTTCACCTTCACCTACGAGAAAAACCCCACCATCAGTCAGATCAGACCCAGCAAGAGCTTCCTCAGGTACGACACACCACAGGACACGAGGACACTCTTACTTTGGTTAGCTGGACTTGAGTTTGCAGTCTCATAGATCTGTTCCTCTGTGTTCCTCATGACGTCAGTGGTGGCCGCAGGATCTCGGTCATGGGTCACGGCTTCGGGCTGGTGCAGTCGGCCGTGATGGAGGTGACTGGAGTCGGACAGACGGTGAGAAATAATGCCTTTTATTGACAGGAAAACAATGCAATCAATGCAAACGTCATCAGATTCACCAGATGATAGAGTCATCATTCAGATCAGATCATCTGATATCAGTGGACACGTGTGTTTTCTGCAGAACTGCTCGTGTGTGTCGTCTACTCTCATGGTGTGTCAGTCTCCGGCGGCGGCTCAGTCCCAGCAGGCCACGGCTCTCTTCTACCTGAACCAGGTGCTGTACCGAGGGGTGGACCCTTCAGGGGGCCGAGGGCCGGACGAGGACCAGGAGCCTCTCGCTGAACACTTTCCCTTTGACTACGTGGAGGATCCGCAGTTCTACACCGCCAACAAAGAGAAGCTCATCAAACATCACCCCGGAGAGCCGCTCATCCTCGTCATCAACGTGAGTGTGTGTGTGTGTGCCTCACCGTGATTATACAGTACTTCAGTCTGAAGTGTCTCAGGACTCAGTGTCTCGTTCCCTGTTCTCAGGGAACAAGGGTTACAGTCGTAACCAGAGACATTCCCTTTCGAAGAGGAACTCGTACTGCATCCTGAGACACATTTGGGGAACAAAAAGTGCCACGCTGCCATTCTGAGGTTATCAATGCCAATTATGTCATCAGTCATGCTGAGGCGTTCCCCAAACGTGTCTCAGGACGCAGTGCGAGTTCCCTGTGCACATACCCTATGGTCTGTAAGGACTAAAGTAGTTGAGCATTGCTCTCTCACACACACACACTCACACACACACACACTGGGGAGAGTCCAGATCTGTGTTGCAGGACGCTGCAAGTCTCTGAGAGTCAGACAGGAAGTGTCTAACAGGCACAGGCGAGCGAGGGAGTGTTATTGTCATTCTCTCCTAAAGAATTGGAGAGGAAGGAAGGACAACGAGCTGAAACAGTGTCTGTGTGTTTGCCTTCTAAGTGTGTGCTTAATCATTAGAGGATGTTTAGTTGTGATTCTGTCAATCACTTGGTTTCTATTTCCACTTTGAAATACTGAACAAAATCCTTGTCCACTTCCACTATCTTCCACCATCACACACACACACACACACACAGACACAAACACAAACACACACACACACACACACACACACATATCTACACACACAGTTATGGTGGTTGTTTTTGTGTGTCAGAAAGGGCCGAGCGAGCTGGACCTGACACTGGACGAATACTCCGTGACGATTGGCTCAGACCTCTGTGACATCACCTTCCATAACGATCAGCTGTTCCACTGCACCATCAACCGCTCGCTGAGCGCTGGCGCTGGAGATCTGCCCGTCACTGTGAGTGAAGAACTCACAACTCACAACACACACTCACAACTCACACTCACACTCACAACTCACAACTCATACTCACACTCACAACTCACAACTCATACTCATACTCACACTCACAACTCACAACTCACAACTCACAACTCATACTCACAACTCACAACTCATACTCACACTCACACTCACAACTCACAACTCACAACTCACAACTCACAACTCATACTCACACTCACAACTCACACTCACAACTCATACTCACACTCACAACTCACAACTCATACTCATACTCACAACTCATACTCATACTCACACTCACACTCACAACTCACAACTCACAACTAGGGTTGCAACGGTATACCGGTATGACGGTTTATCGCGATATTGACATGTACGATTATCATATCGTGCACATTTGCTTATCCGCGGTAAAAAAAAAAAAAAAAAAAAAAAAACAGAATTCACCTGCACTGCCGCATGCAACTTTCAGCTTGACTGCTTACTCCATATCCGTACAGCGCTGAAAATGTCCGAGACAGAGGCTGCGAATCTCTATCTCACGCCAAAAAAATAAATAAAATCTGCAGTATGGGAATATTTTGTAACTTATATCCGAACAAAGATCGTGATGTTGTCCTTGAAGATGGATATCCAGTTTGCAAGATATGTGGACGAAGAGCGGCTGCAAAAGGAGTAAACACGTCGAACATGTTCTCCCATATTCAGGAACACCATCCCTCCGTGAGGTTATTCATAACTTTTATAACTTAAGGCCATATTATTTCTGTCATGCTGAGGGAATTCCGGTCTGTCACAAAGACGCACACATGCGTCTTTTTGCGTTACAAAACAGATGCCACGTAAAATGTGCGATTTAAAAAGATAGATGGATAAATAAAGCAAAATATAGCTATGCAGTAGCCTAAATCAAATCGCGATGTGCGTGTCTGTGAATATACAACGCAAAAAGACTGGTGTGCAAGCCCCTTCTATATTCAGCGTGTCTCTGAATGAGCAGCGCCGTTTCGTCTAGTAGATCTAGTACACACTCAAGTACGCATGACGCTCATGGTTTTTAAAGCTGTCTCAGCCACTACGAAGACGTGAACACATGAACATATCTAGACAGAGAACACTTAATGTGCACTTTATAATTATTTTTTTAAAGAATAATCATCAAATACACTGACTGAAACTCATAGGTGTTCAGTAGGTGTTAACGCAGGGTTAAATGTAACACGGACCGTTTACACAGTTCGTCAGGATCAAGCAGGCTGTCTTTCCGCTATTTTTCTCTTGCTGCCAGAAGACGGTCTCCCGCGAATTTGCGGAAAGTTTTGATTATATTTCGTGAAGATACTGGACAAAGAGTGTTTTGACACCATGAAAGTAATTTTTTTCATCATAGGTTTTTTTCGGTTTCTGAGTTGGGTGTATACGTTTCCAAATCTAACTTTATATCACCGTCTTGTTGGCTCAAACATAGCACCGTTTTGAAACATGTCAGCAATTCCTAGCGACTGTTAGCTAGGTTTAAAATATGTAATACACAGCGGGGTTAATTCTAACAGAGTGGTACAACTAAGCCTCCAAGTGTACAATGATAATCAAATGAAAACGGAGCCACACAACTTTTCAGGTTTGAGTATACATTTAACTTTGTTAGACGTTCACAAACAATGTTGGGATTTAAAATGTTTAAAATTTAGTGTTCTATGAATGATAACTTGTTTATTTATTAAAAATATGGCCTGTTATTAATGCAATAAACCCTTTACATTTTTATTTTAAGCTAATTTGTATTATCATTACTGTTATTATTAATAATAATAATAATAATAATTGTACATCATGCAGCTGCCACACACAAATCTAATTTAATTGCAATTACAATATTTATAATTTTATTTATTATTATTTATTGCAAAACTATGCAGCCCTTTTCTATGTCTCTATCCATGATATTGATCCATAATAGAAGGATGATTGGATGAGGGATATGTATGGATATATGTCTATACAGATGCACAAACAATATCAAACTATACAAATAAAATAGTACTGAGTGTGTTACACACAAGTGTTACAACTAACCCCTCTCTCTGTTACAATTAACCCCGCATATGGGGTAAGTTGTAACATTTGCACTTCTGTCACTTTCAGTGCAACTGTACAAAAATGGTAGGTCCTAGAAAAAAACTTTAAGTGTTCATTTGTAGCAGAGATGTGCATGTTGCTTGTGTAAAAAAAGTATTAATCTAACCTAATTATTTTTTTAAATTAATTGAGCCAAAAGCAAAAAGCGTTAGGTTGTGCCCCGCTCTCCCCTACAACCTGGAAAAAAAAAGTTTGGTTTAGCCTATGACTAAAATATATTACTATTGTGTATAGTTTTTTTGTCCATGTTTTAATTTATTAAACTTCTCTTGTGTAGACAAACTAAAGTTGTTACATTTTATCTGATTGCATTCTCAAAAATACATTTTGTATTCAATCACAGAATCCAGACCAGTTATTTCAGACAACCCAGAATTTCTGAGGAAATAAATATACATTTCATAAAGACTCTTGAAAAAAACTTTGTTACAATAAACCATGTTCAACCAAAAACAATATCTGTTTTTATTCATTTAAGGGCCATTGTAGCTGATGCTGATTATAATAATGATAGTTTAATATCGTATACCGTGAAACCGTGATATTTTCTGAGACGATTATCATACCGTGAAAATCTCATACCGTTGCAACCCTACACACACTCACAACTCACACTCACAACTCACAACTCATACTCATACTCACACTCACAACTCACAACTCATACTCACAACTCATACTCACACTCACACTCACAACTCACAACTCACAACTCATACTCACACTCACAACTTACAACTCACAACTCACAACTCATACTCACACTCACAACTCACAACTCACAACTCATACTCACACTCACAACTCACAACTCACACTCACAACTCATACTCACACTCACAACTTACAACTCATACTCACACTCACAACTTACAACTCACACTCACAACTTACAACTCATACTCACACTCACAACTCACAACTCACACTCACAACTCATACTCACACTCACAACTTACAACTCATACTCACACTCACAACTCACAACTCACAACTCATACTCACAACTCACAACTCATACTCACAACTCACAACTCATACTCACACTCACAACTTACAACTCATACTCACAGTCACAACTCACAACTCATACTCACACTCACAACTCACAACTCACACTCACACTCACAACTCACAACTCACACTCACTCACACTCACAACTCACAACTCACAAATAACAACACTAACAACACTCAGAACACCCACAACTTACAACACTCACACACTCAACTTTTAATATTACAAACGTAAAATATTTTAGAACACAAATGAACATTGACCTTGTTTCAGAAATGCTATTAAATTATTGTGAAGGTGTAGCTGTTGTAGCTGTTGTTACCATGGTAATCAGCAGCTCAAGGAGCAAAGGAGAACTTCACAGGCTGCAAACTCACTGTGAGAGAGTGAACTTACTGGAAGATGAATGTCTCTCGCCCACATCAGCTTTATCAGTGTATCTGTATCTGACGTTAATCACTACCAGCGTAACCATCACTTTATTCTTTATCTGCTCATCGGTATCACTCTCACACACACACATACTCTCTCTCTCCCTCTCTCTCTCGGTCGCTGGAAGTGTAAAGCAGTGCTGGAATTTCTCTGCCGTTCAACATCAAGCATGAAAACAAGAGTTAATCAAGCCCTGAAATGCCCTGCTTGTTTTCATGTCTGAATTCCCCGTTCCTTTGTTTGGTCTGATTGTGAAACACACACACACACACACACACAGCTATATTTAACACGCCGGAGCGCTACATGACACATCTAATGGAGTAGAGAGACCACTAAACGTCTCAACAAACAGTGGAAAAGATCACAAACATCTGGGTCTGAGGGCAAATGAGGCATTGAGAGCGGTTTTGACACACACACACACACACACACATACACAGGGAACAGGAGGATGGCTATGCGCTGTTTATGTGAGATGTATGGATTTACATTCTGGCCGTTTTTCCATATTTTACTAACAGGCCAAAGGGTGAGTGTCTGGAAAACACAGGATTAGGAAGCAAAATGTGGAACTTCTGTCATCATTTACTCTCTATTGTGTTGTTTGTCGTCCATAAGACTGTCTGTGATCTGTGGAACACACTAGATATCGTAACGAAGGCCTGAGCTGCTCTTCTTCATGCTGTAAACAGGGCATCATAAAGAAGTCATGTTTCACACGGGACACATGTTTACTGTTAAAAACACGAGACGCAGGTCAGTGCGAGTCTAGAGAAGTGAACTGTTTTCAGAACGCTGGTTTGAGACGTGAGCACATGTAAGAAACACAAGAGAGACCGCAGGATTTCCTCAGGCTGGAGACTTCCCGCAATAACAGCGCTTGCCAACTCCCAAACGGCTTTGCTGACACAGAAGAACAGAATACAATAGAATAGAGTTAAACACTTCAAACTCAGAAGAATAAAATGGAATTGAAAATTTGAAACAGAAGAACAGAATAGAATTGAACACTTCAATCACAATCACAAACGCGGCACCTCTTGCTAAAGCCCTGGAGGATGCAACCCTGCGGGTAGAATGAGCCGAACGCCTCGAGGCGAAGCTGGACCGCATGCCTCATAGGGGCAGGACAAGTTTGAGAACCGCTGGGCTAGGGCGACAGCATCCCTCACCCACTGCGACAGTCGGCTTTGTGGGGGTCGCAAGATAGCCCTAAGGAAAACCATTTTTAGAGTCAGAAGCTTGACCGGCGCTGACTCTAGTGGTTCAAATGGGTTGTCGACTAGCCCCTCAAGGTCCACGGCTAAGTAAGTCCCAGAAAGGGACTTTGACTCTGACAGGAGGGCTCAGTCGCCCATCTCCCATGAAGAAGCGAGCGATCACAGGGTGTTATGCCACTGAAACCCAGTCAATCAGAGCGTGGCAAGCCGCAATGGTGGCCACAAAAGCTCTGAGAGTAGCAGGACGTGCTTTTCTTGCAAACACTCCAGCACCTTGAGGTCGATCAGGAATTTGAAACATGATCATTTTGATTGTCAGCATTTTTAAGTTCAATCTTTGAGAGAACGATTCAGGCCACTAAGGTCTAGAATTGGACGCAATCCCCCATCTTTTTTGGGAACCAGAAAATAATGGCTGTAATAATCTTACTATCTATCTGGGAGGGGAACATGTCCAATGCCTCTTTGTCCAGCAGATTTTGCAGTTCTTGAACCAACAAGTGCGCCTCTTCCGGTTTCCCGGTAGCACGGAGGGTGGCGTACAAACTGTATTCTGTAGCCTTTTTCTATTCTCCTCAATTTCCAAGTCGGCGATTTATAGCGCAATTGCGCTTCAAGCGTCCCGAGGTCGAGTCCCGGCCCGTTGACCTTTCCCAGTCCCTTCCCCCTCTCTCTCCCTCACACTTTGCTTCCTGTCAATTAACTGTCCTATCATAATAAAAGGCAAAAACGGTGCAACAAAAGAAATTAACAAAAAAAGCTCAAGGAGATTAATTTAGCAGTATCTTCCACGCCGCTTACTTGTCTGAAAGGGGTATTAGTTTGGCATAGTGCCGAGAGACGCAATGACTTGTTGATGGGGAATGTTAAATCTCTATCTGTGTCATCTGCGCATTTAACATTTCGCTGGAAACCACCATTTAACATTTGTCGAGACACCAGGCACTGTTGTTGTGTGGATGGGCGGCCGGAGCGCATTAAGGGTTTTCTGTTAGAGCGGTGTCGTGTTAGCGGCCCCTAAGTTAATAACTAATGATCTTCGCAACAGAGTTGAATCAATCAATCCTAACTTTAGCTGGACAATAACTTTATTCTAATGCTGTTGTAAAGCCTAAACAATCTGCTATGGTAATTCGCTCAGCCGAGCCCTCTCTGTTGCTGTGTGGAGCAGCCTGTGCAGCTTTTTGACATACAGTATTTCTTGTTCCCGAACACAAATATTTTGTTCGGAATAAGTATTCGTAAAAAACACATTATTTGTGCCTTTCCGATTACCGTATTCGGCTCCACCCCTAGTACACACTATATTTTGCATAGTTAATTTATTTAACAAATTTCTTTTTGTTAATGTTTTGCAGTCATACTATACATATACTGTACACACTATAAATGTGTGTGTGTGTGCGTTTGTGTGTAAGCATGCTTTATGAAGTTAACATGAAAAAAATGGTTTGCTTTAGTGCAGAATATTGGAGAAACAAAGTATTTCAAAATGGAAGTAACATGGTATATCAAGGTAAACTATGGAAAATCATGTTACATTCATGGTAAATCATACTAGAACATGGTAAATCATGAAAAATCACATTGAAATATGGTTTATCATGGTAAATAATGCTTGCTACATAAAACTTAATATCTTTTGATGCTTTTGTGCTTAAAGGCCTTAAAGGCCTAAACTGCTTGAACCCCGCTAAATGCTGCTTGCAGCTTTAATTTCTATTGTATCTCTAAAGCTGCTTTAAAACACCCCATACTGTTAAAAGTGCTGTATAAACGAAGATGATTTGACCTGAAACTGATTTCCCCCCGGACCACCGGAGGTGGCAGGGATGGACCGGTGTTGTGGGGGTTTAATGAAGGAGCTTGTATCTTTACCTCAAGTCTATCGTACCTCAAGTCCAGCTTCTGTTTAGGTGGTGGAGTGGCACCCCGGTCCCCAGTCTCTACGGGGGGAGCCAACTCGCCACGCTCTGTTTCTGAGCTTCACGTTTTTGAGAAGCTGGACCTGGTGTTGGGACTGGGTGGCCGACGGACCCACCGCCTATATCAATATATCAATACTACTGACTACAGTCTGGACTAAATTGCCAAATAGACGCTTTATCTCTGTCCTTGATGCCAGTGAGGTTTAGCCACAGATGTCTCTCCGGAAACCACCATTTAACATTTCTCGAGACAGCAGGCATTGCTGTTGTGTGGATGAGGACACGAGGAGAATGAGGACATGAGGAGAATGGGGCGGTGTTGTCTCTCTGATGTCCCATGTTCTCGCTCTGATGCTGTGACGGTCAGATGCTCCAGCGTGATGAAGATGATGATGATGATGATGATAACGATTGCTCTTCTGCTCCAGGTGCGTGTGGGCCGTTTCCAGAAGGTGATAGCGATGGTGCAGATGGGTGGAGGCAGTGAACTGGCCATCGTGGTGTCCATCGTGGTCTGCTGTGTGCTGCTGCTGCTCTGCACTGTGGGTGAGTGTGAGTGTGTGTGTGTGTGTGTGAGTGTGTGCTGCTGCTGTGCACTTTGGGTACGTGTGTGTTCACTCTTTACACCATGGATGCAACACACATGTTGTTCCTGTGCTGAAGTGTGTGTGTGTGTGTGTGTGTTCAGCACTGGTGGTGTACTGCACCAAGAGCCGCAGGGCAGAGCGCTACTGGCAGAAGACTCTGTTACAGATGGAGGAGATGGAGTCACAGATCCGCGACGAGATACGCAAAGGTAACACACTCTTGTTTTCATGGGGTGGGGGGGGGGCACTGTTTATGATCTGAGATATACACATTTATCAGAACAGTAACAACCCATATTTTCCAGAACTGAAATTGACTAAATTCTATAAAATTAAATCATTAAAACACCAAAACACAAGAGAGTCCATCCTACAGCGCGGCTGCTCAATATAGCGCTCATGAGTCACCCGTGCAGATCTACAGGTGGTGCTGGGGAGGGTGGAGGGAGTCACCCGTGCAGATTACGAGATTACGAGCAGATTGAGTCAACCAGAACTTTGAATTTATAAGTATAATTACGTTTCAAGTTCAATTTTGTGTAATATGTTAAATATGAATTTTCTGATCTTAGACGGAGGATGAACTCCAGGGTTAGGCTAAGCACATGCACTTCCTTTTAGTTGCGTAGACGAGATCTTTCACCTCGAGTCTGAGCATGAGCAGTACTTTATGAGACTCTTATTTCGCTGTTTGGGCTTTTTGGGGCTTCCCGTTTATTTGAATTTTCCGTCTCCTGATGAACGAAAGCAATGCATGATGGTGAACTGTTATTTAACTGTTAATATTCAGATGTATTTATGTACAGTCAGCAGTAAACACATATGGTTTGGGTTTGAAGTGTGTGATTGTCCTTGTGTTTCTGGTGTTCAATTTGAGCCGAGGGAGCTGAGCTCACCCATCATCAACTCTCTCTCTCTCGTTTCCTCCCGTTATATTCTTGGTTTCCATGGTAATTCTATCCCTAAATATACACTAACATCCTGTGTTGAAACAATAAGAGGATGTTTCAATTCCTGTTATCCCAGCAGGACTTTCCTCACAGCACTGATCTGACATCAGCTCCAATCGTGACACACACACACACACACACACACACACACACACACATTGTGCAAGTTCGCAGAATAAGTGTGTCATCATCTTTTTTCACCACTAACTGCTTCACACAAACTGAGTGTATTTGTATACATCCATTTAAAAAGCAATTGCTTCACGTTAGCTGTAAACCGAGCTGTTCTCACAGTGACTCAGAGTTTGAGCTGTCATGTGTTTCACAGAAAACTGGATTACACACAGAAGGCATGATCCCCTTCCACTGCATTACACAGCATTCACATCTACAGCTGAACATCACACACCAGTTACTGAGCGCTGACCGCTCTCCTGTCCTTGTGTTGAGAGAATCGCGTGTGTGTGTGTAAAGATGATGGATTAGGCAGTCCTAGACTAAATGTGAGCATGTGTTTACTCATCTCACAAAGACAGATTCGTTATTTCTCTAAATAATTAAAAACAGTGAAATGCAAACTCAGACTATGAGCACACCTGCAGCAGTTACTGTAAGAGTTTGCCTGTAGTCCGGTGTTCTGTGTTGACGGCATCACATTATATATTCACGATTCCTCGATTAAAGATAAGAACTCAATTAAAAAAAAATCCTTGATTGCAATTTACCCAGTAACCGACAAAATACTGGAAGTGGCGCATTCCACGGTTGAGAATCCACAAACCGCATTATTAAACCGTTCTCTAGTCTAGGCTACGCGATATATATAAACGCCGGGTCGCTGGCGCCCTCTGCAGGCAGTTCTTATAACACGTAATGTACATAAGTTATGTTCAAGTTTATATCACTTATTTTACATGGTGTATTAAAACAGTGTTGTTCATAAAAACCCATATGCAGCAACGTCGCAATAGGGCAGGCGAGCCGGGCGATCGTCTGGGCTCCGCATTTAAGGACCCGAATATAAGGCCCCCGCGTGTAAAGACCTGTATGTAAGGGCCCTGCATTTAAAGAAGTAGTTCACTTTAAAAAAAACTTTTGCTGCTCTTCTGCTCCAGGTTCATCCAAGATGTCCATGTCTTTCTTTCTTCAGTCGAAAAGAAATGAAGGTTTTTGATGAAAACATTCCAGGATTTTCTCCATATAATGGACTTCAATGGGGTCCAAACGGTTCAAGGTCCAAAAGACAGTTTCAGTGCAAACTGTTCAAAGGGCTTTAAACGATTCCAGACGATGAATAAGGGTCTTATCAAGCGAAACGATCGCTCATTTAATTAATAAATAACAAAGTTTAAGTTTTATAAGCTCAAATGCTCGCCTTGCTCTGTTCTGTGATGCGCGTTCGTGACTCTCCTGTTCGAAATGAACAAATCTTTCAATTCGTTCGTTTCGTTCGTTGAATGAATTTCGTTCGTTTGTATTTTAAGTTATTTTAAAGGCTGTACTACTTAAAGGATTAGTACATGTTTGATGACACCCACATCTGTTAATTATTGTCATGTTTGTGCGTCGCAGGTTTTGCAGAGTTGCAGACGGACATGACGGATCTGACGAAAGAGCTGAACCGCACACAGGGGATCCCGTTCCTGGAGTACAAGCAGTTCGTCACGCGCACCTTCTTTCCCAAGGTACACACACACACTAAACACACACACTACACACACTACACACACACACACACACACACCACACACACTACACACACACACTAAACACACACACTACACACACACACTAAACACACACACTACACACACTACACACACACACACACACAGAACGAGCTGAAGCTGATGACATAAATGACTGATCTCAGCCTCTGTGTGTGTGTGTGTGTGTGTGTGTAGTGTGTGTAGTGTGTGTGTGTGTGTGTGCGTGTGTGTGTGTGTGTGTGTGTGTGTGTGTGTGTGTGTGTGTGATGATCAGGGGAATATGATTATTACACAATACATCAGTTCATACTCGTGAAAACAAGACCTGGATTTGCAGCTCTGAGTGTCAGATTAATGTATATCGTTACTCTGAACAAGAAGTGGCCCTTAAATTATATCTGTAAAACATGTCCACTGTATGAATGCCTTAGCATTATATATCAACGTAAGTGGCATTAGTTTTAAAGAAAGAAGCACAAGCCCAGTTTAAAGCAACACTATTGTGGGTTTAGACGAAGTCTTACAAAGGATTTTAGATTTTAGGTTTTGCAAGTATAAGACTCTTCTGTTTGTTCTCCAAAACCACTGATGTAGTAATCTCCCAGTCCCAGTGTCTGCAGACTCCCGAGGCCGAGTTAGTGCACAGCATTCTGGGGGAATTCTGGGTATCCACTTCAAAAGTAAAATCTCCTGATAGTTTACTCTCCCCCACGTCATCAAGATGTTCATGTCCTTCTTTCTGCAGTCGAAAAGAAATTAAAGTTTTGAGGAACACACTCCAGGATATAGTGACTTCAATGGGGTCCAACGGGTGGAAGGTCCAGATGTGAGTTTCAGTGCAGAACACGATCCAGCCGAGGAATCTAGACTAACCAGAGGACATTTTTTAACAAAATAAACATTTATATACTTTTACCACTAAAGCTGGACTTGCACTCGCTGTGATGCGCCACACATTACGTGATCAGGTTGAAAGGTCACGCGTGTTCTGGCTCAGAAATGTAGAGTAGAGTGAAACACATTTCTGTCAAATATGACTGACGATTAGCACACACTTTGGATTGGCCGTATGGTTCAGTTCTGGGCGAGAACTCCCCTGCGCATCCGTGAGGTCTAGCAGCAACAAACCCTCCTCACGGGAATTCAAGATTTGATCCTGATTGAAGGAGAATCTGAAGGCTAAATCCTGACTGACGAGAGGTGGAGCTGCGGATGGAGGAGGGCAATCAGCTCCTGAGGAACGAGATACTGACGGAGATTATTCTGTATACAGTGATACAGGTGGAGGATCAGATGAGAGTCACTGATGCGAGCTTGACTAACGTGACCTGCCAGATCGAACAATAACGCTTGATTTGTGGTTAAATGTATATAAATGTTTATGAGGAGATTAAGCTATCAGGACATTTGACTTCTGAAGTGAATAATCCTTTAGTGCAGTTTGACCGTGAGCTCGAACACACTGCAGAACCTGGATGAGGAACATAATGATGACTGCAGAACAGCTGCATCAATCTGAAGCTTTGACTCTCTCTCTCTGTGTGTGTGTGTGTGTGTGTGTGTGTGTGTGTGTAGATGTGCTGTGACTACGAGCGGCGTCTGGTTCAGCCGATGTATGAGAACGATCCGCTCGGCCCGAGAGCTCTGACCGAAACTCATCCTCTGCTGCAGGACTGGCAGGTGAGACACACACACACACACACACACACACACTCCATGTTCAGACACACACACACACACACACACGCTGGAAGATGATTATTTTGTCTCGTTGGCTCTGGATATTTCCGCATTAGGGTTAGGGCATCATGGACAACTTCAGTTAGTTTTATTTTCAGAGTTTGACAAGGAAAGATATTGAAGAACAAAACCCTGTATCAGACATAACATACTCAAGACAGCCTTATGTACCTAATTTAAAACAAATAAATAAATATATAAATAAAAAGGTACACAGAAAAACATCAGGCTTCATCCAATAAAAGCTGTTATTTATAAAACAACGAGTATGTGGAATAAAATAAGTTATTTTACAGAGATAGTTAAAGTTGTTTCACAGTGACTGGTTTATATTATAGCATGTGCTGTGTGTGTGTGTGTGTGTGTGTTTCTCATGTTAGCCGTGTAACAGCATGCGGCCCAACCTGGAGGAGGGAATCACTCTGTTCTCCACTCTTCTCAACAACAAGCACTTCCTGGTGTCCTTCGTTCACGCGCTCGAGCAGCAGAAAGACTTCGCCGTCAGAGATCGGTGAGTCCGCTCTTCAAACAGTGCATCTGATACACAGAGAACATTATACAACATCCAGAACATCCAGAACCTCCGATTCAGAAGATCAAGCCCAGCACAGTCGAACACCACATCTTCTTACTCAGTATTTTTGCCTAGTTTCCAGTCCAAATAACAAAACATTCTTACCGAGTGAAATGCCATAAAATATTATGTCTTGCTTTCTGGGGGGAGAAAATCAACATGAAGTGAGTTTAGGCATAAAAGATCTACCTGTCACAGTCTTCGTCTGCACCATTCTGTCTGCGTCTCCTGCACTACATTTCCCAGGATCCTCTTGTCTCCATTCCGGAACTCACTCCCTCATCAGCCACCTGTTCCTCGTCTTGTTCATCTGTTTCACCTGTTTTCACCCCATTAGGCTTGATTCCTCTGTGTATTTAGTTCCCTCTGTTTCATTCTGTCTTTGTCAATCACTAGGTGTTTCTCAATGTCAAGGATACTTTCTTGGCAGGACGGGTCCTTCCAAGTCATTTCCTTCAGAGGCTAGGCAAGGGTCCTCTTTAGCGTTCGGAGAACACGTAAATGGAACAGGCTAGCAAGTGCACGTCATTGCGTCATTACATCAGTGAAAGGTCCGCTTCGGCGCTGCAAAAATCATAGTGCTGGTGTACTGCACTGTTTGTTGACAGTCCTTATTTCGTCTTGTCAGTCCTCAGAAATAAATAATTAAATAAATAAAGAATAAGGGATAATGTATAACCAGGTGGTTTAGTGAATACAACCCCGCAAACTCTAAGGGTCTTGATGATTGAATCAGCCTGAAGGGGTTGTACGTACCAAACGGCTACCTACCAAATAAATCAATAATTTGACACAAAATATTTATTTAAAAAGGAGTTTATTCATTCAAAAACGATTATATTACCGGAGTGAACAGAACTAGCACTACGTCCATAGCAACACGATCTAGCTGTTAAAACACATGCAATGGTAAAATATGTGACCAACAAAAAGGCGATAACGTTATATGAAGTAAAAATTAAAAAGTTAATCACAAGTAAAAGGGAACAGCTTTAAATCCCCTCAGCAAATTTGGGCCGATATGTTAAATAGTTTAACAAACATTAAATAAATGGCTAAACTGAAATTATACTTGCTTACATTTGAAAGCATATTGCCGTTATCACTCCGACTCCGCTAACGGTCGACATTTTTTTATTTTTTGAACAAGATAGCAAAGCTGCGCATAGGATTGTGGGTGATTTAAGAGCGCGAAGGCTACACATATGCATCCTTTCCTGTGTATGGGATATTTTCCGAACAAAGGACTCAGTCCTTGGTTGAAATTCTGAGGATCCTCGACATTGGAACAGTCCTTCGACGGACGTCGATGACGTAGCATCCTCGAAATTCCGGCTTCCGAGGATCCTTCCTTGACATTGATAAACGCCTAATGTCTAATGTTAGCCTGTGTTGCACCCGTGTTCCTGTCTTCCTGCCTGTTTGTTATATTAAAAGTAATCTTTACTATTACTCTGGACTCCTCCGGTTCCTCAGCCCGCACCACACCCTGACACTACCAGGGGTAACAAAAATAAGATAATAATTAAGATTATTTTCTGACCCTGTTGGCAGAAAATTTAGCTTTTTTTAAGTAAAAACTTTTGGACTTTTTTTCCCCCAGAAAACAAGACATAAAATCTTATGGCATTTTACTACTTTTGTAAATGTCTCGGTTAGTAACGTAACCTCGGTTCCCTGAGAGAAGGGAACAAGTATTGTACAAGTAGCTCCTTGGGAAAAACTCTTTTTCTCGAGAAAATTGAAGCCAATTGGCTGTGCTACGGCAACTGGACGAACCAATGGCGAAGCAGCTCATGCACGCGAACCAATCGGCATAGCGCTATAACCCGCCAGAATGTTGAGGTGGGTTTAGCCTTCTGGCCCCTTTGTGGAAGCACACAACCAGGTCTCCTCTTCCCAATGATTGCACGGCCAGATCGGCGTGGAGAGCTGCAATGGCCGCTACATATACTCTGAGCGTGGACAGGGAACAAGAGTAGAGCACCTTCGGCAGTCCGCTTGAGTAGGGGTCCGAGCTGTGCACCAGAACACTGACCCTAACCCTAACACTGACCCCAACCCTAACACTGACCCTAACCCTGACACTAACCATTTTAGAGAGTAAAGACACCTGGTGGAGGGTGCTCTAGCTTCAGTAATGGTGTTCACAACACTTTCCAGGAGGGCCCAACTTGGATTCATCTTGGAGATCCATAGCTGGTCCTTCCACAGAGGGGCTATAAGAGCACTGGACGCTTGCTCTCCCTGATCCGTTTGATGACCTGAGGAAGCATCGAGACCGGAGGGAATGCATACAGTGGGCGGCTCGGCCAGTCGTGGGCAAGTGGATCCCTGTCTTTGGAGAAAACTGTTCAGCAATGAGCGCTGTCATGGCGAAGAGGTCGACCTCTGCCTCGCCGAAGATGCTCCACATCAGCTGAACTGTTCTCGGGAGAAGCGACCTTTCCCCTGGGGGGGCATATCCGGGCCCTGGGTCAGAATGGCAGAATGCTCCGCTCTCTGCAAGCGCAGGTCGTGCTGAGCCCACATTAAAGGCGTTTGGCCTGGCCTAACCCTAACCCTAACCCTAACCCTTATATAGACCAGGGGTAGGCAAGTTCGGTCCTAGAGAGCCGCTGTCCTGCAGAATTTAGTTCCAACCCCAATCAAACACACCTGAACAAGCTAATCAATGTCTTCAGGATTACTAAGGAGACTTTTTTTCAGTGTTGGAGTCAAACTCTGCAGGATAGCGGCTCTCTAGGACCGAACTTGCCTACCCCTGATATAGACCATCAACATGTTGTCCATCTGGATCAAGAGGGTGGTGTCCCTTTAGATATTGGAGAAAAGCTTGCAGTGACAGAGCGACCGCTCTCATCTCCAGACAATTTATAAGTATTGGTTGAGTTTGACGTGTAAGTGGCCGGATCGCCATGCGTGAGCGGGTTCATGGGGATGTACTGTAGACTCAGCTGGACACTGATGATGCTGAGACCCAACAATCTCTGAAATCTCTCCGAGAAATCGCTCTGAATGATGCCCGTAAGTGCTGAACGCTCTCATCTGTATGGAGTTTATGTTCTGGCTGGGAGACAGTGCGCTTTTGGCAAGAAAAGCATTATTTGCAGTGCAAAAGCCCAAGTGGATCGTAATTCTTCACAGTTCGGCGTCTTGTTTCCTAAAGCCATCGTAACACAAGTATCTCTTAAAACGGGACAGAGATTTACGAGCGCTCGGGAGGAATGGCACGTATGCAGTCACATATTATACAAAATACATTTAGTTTGAAGTCCCCCTGTGGTGTAAATCCAGCTTTTAATGCCTATGTGGTGTTATTAATATGCTTTGAGGCAAACCACATGTTAATTCAAAAGTCGACCGCCAGTGTTGGGAAAGTTCACTGTCTACATGAACTAGTTCATAGTTCATACTTCACAATTTTGATCTAAGTTCCAAAAATGAACTAGTTCAAAGTTCTTTTTTTCCACATGTTGCTGCGAGCTATTTTTTATTATTATTGTCACAGCCCATATACAACCACACACAGCAATTACTTTATCAGCGGGCTCAGTTTGCTCATACAAATGTACGATTTTTCCCTTACCGAACTTTAAATGATCATTCGATGCTCTGTCGACTACATGCTACTTCTTATCTTGATGCGGCTGTGCGTGCGACACTCGTGGCGTGTGTTGCCAGATTTGGTGTTTTTCGCTACATATTAAGACCTGTTTACGGTGTTTTTGAGCCGGGTAGAAATCTGGCACCCTATTGTACGAAGTTAAACTGAGAGAGCGTGCGTTCAGACACCAGAATGAATGAGTTCACAGTACCGTTCTTCAGGCAGTAATACAGTACGTTCAGTTCATGCTCGCCCAAAACATGAACTATCGCTCAATGAACGCGTTCAGGCACAACACTGACGACAGCATTGCTGAGTATTTCCTCCTTCAAACTGCAGTGAAAAAACACGCTTTGAAATCGCTGGAGTTTCTGACGTCACAAACCACCTTGTAACCAATCAGATCAACGTGTGCTCGTCAACCAGTGGAGAGGGAGTGGAGGCGGGGCTCATTTGCGTATTCATACAACCACGAATACATAATGAGGCGAGGGTGTCAAGTTACATTCAAGATATTTTAAGACATGAAGAAATTTTCATTTTTCATTTTATTTTGTTGATGAAAGATGAGTTTTAAGGGATGAAACGATCGACTATAGGGGGACTTTAACACAGTTCATGTTATATACACAACAACTACACTCTAATATGAGGATACAATATTTTTTGTTATATCTTTTATGTACGTTTTAAAACAACACTAAATAAATAATCGCCTCTCTGAACTGGTATGTAAATAATTTGTAATATATTGTGTGTAGATATATATATATATAGTAAATAGCCTTTTCCAAGAAGATGTGCTGTTTGCACTTAGTGAATAAATGCTGTAGCTAATGATATGTTTATGGCGTACATAAATAGTATAACCTGTACCCCGCTCATATGGTATCCATTTTATTTGTGCAGGTCTTAAAAAAGATTTTTAAAGCCTTAAATATAGTTTAACCCCTTCAGGATCATGTACAGTAACACACGTGTGTCGGCTGACCCTAGAAGCGCATGGAGGACAGCGGCTGTACCTGTTCTGCTCAACACTGTTAGAGATGCGGCTCATTAGGCTGACAATTTCACTGGGTTTCATGTAATGAAAGATCTCACACAGCATAAACGCAATAGAGTTACAGTAACGAGCGATACGTCTCTGCAGGCACTTTACAAAATAACAAACTCATAACATGGCTGACAGACACGGCTCTGAACAACAGGATCAAAAGCTGTCGGGAAACGAGGCGCGGATGATTTGTTCCCGGGAGCGTTTAGTGAGTTCAAGTTGAGATCTCTGAGAAGACACACACACACACACACACCCTGCAGTGAAGTGATGCATCAGTGCTTCCATTGTCTGAGATCCTCATCTGTGCGCGATTAGCTGTTGTGTGATGTGTAGCTGATGTGTGTGTGTCCTCGATTACCCCGTCTCCAGCTCTGGTGTCAGGATGTGAACGCATTTTGTCATTGGTGTTCAGGTGCAATCTGGCGTCTCTGCTCACCATCGCCCTCCATGGTAAGCTGGAGTACTACACCAGCATCATGAAGGACCTGCTCGTGGATCTGATCGACGCCTCCGCCTCCAAAAACCCCAAACTGATGCTGAGGAGGACCGAGTCCGTGGTGGAGAAGATGCTCACCAACTGGATGTCCATCTGCATGTACAGCTACCTCAAGGTGTGTGTGTGTGCGTGTGTGTGTGTGTGTGTGTGTGTGAGTTCTCCACTGACTGCAGGAGTGTGTTGTGTGTCCTCAGGAGAGGGTTGGCGAGCCGTTCTTCCTCCTGTTGTGTGCCATCAAGCAGCAGATCAACAAGGGCTCGATCGACGCCATCACGGGCAAGGCTCGCTACACGCTGAACGAGGAGTGGCTTCTGCGGGAGAACATCGAAGCCCAGCCGCAGGTCAGCCGCAGGAGCACTGCCGTCACACATAAAATATTGACATATAATAGAAATTATCTATGAATATGCATACAGTATATACGTGCAAATAGTTCTAAATATATACACATGTGTATTTATATTTACAAAATAGTATTACACAGAACACACACATGTATTATGTAAACACAAACTTTTATTTGGATGTAATTACCCAGCACTAGAAACATTTCAGAAATACACACTCCATGAAAGATGTATAAACAATTGTTTGCGCTAACGCTTTGAGAACATTATTAACCCTTGTGTGTCTTTGTGGACATAATGCCTTATTCATTTTTTTATTTTATTTATTTCATTTTGCCCGTGTTTGTGCCAACTGCATACATTTTGGCACAGGTGTGTATTTTTATAGTAATTTTACTATTTCACCCTCATTTTGTTTAGTAACTCTATCTTGCACTAAAAACACAGAATAGTTCCTCTCTGGACCTTCAGGACAAACATGTCCCATTAAAACCCAGTAAACTGCCGTGTTTAATCCCAGGGCCATCTCACTATAAATGATGAATGTTTGTTATCAGGCTTTCATTCTGTTGGCAAGGCTTCAAAATGTGTGTGTGACTCAAAAAAAAACACTTTTTTGAGATATCAACCTCAAATTTGGAACACAGCTTGTTTAGATTTATGTCTTTGATTTTCTAGCAATTGTAGATTTCAACATGTTTAATAAAATATAGATTTTATTTAACATATTGTTCGTAAATAATTTTTGAAAACTTTTTTGGTATCACCTTTTAAACTTTTTTTTACTTTAACAATACTCTGCCATGGGTCTTCTTTAAAATGAGACCAAACTTGAGTCTGTGTTCCCAAGCTTCACTGTTTCATGACACCGATTTGTCCTCCATGGACCAGTGTGTGATTGTGTGTGACTGATGCACAAGGGTTAAAGAGTAGATGACCTTCAGTTAACATTACTGTAACATTACTG